CGTGGAAATCAATCTCACTTTATAAGTAATTCTGTATTTGCCCAGGTTATTTTTTCTGGAAGTGATTTTCAAAGAGCTAAAGAGAGCACACACACAAAAGGGAAAAAAAAACACCACAGCAAAGACACCTAAAATAAACCAGCACTGCTATTTAAGCAGTCTGAGAGAATCCATATCAGGTGGGATTGTAGGAGGGTTTTATTTCTTTAAAGAGCTCCCCCCTCTTAGTTTGTGTCCCTTTTATGCACAGAACACCACTCTGTCCCTCCACTCAGAGCCTTCACCATCATTCATGCCTCCTCTTCTGCACACAGCCCACATCTTTTCTTCCCCTGAGAAGAGTTAAATACTCTTGTTCCTCCAAAGAATAATTTATTTTTCCTGACAAGGCCTTTTATGCAATTAGCTGGAGAAGCCATAGCCAAAAAGAAAGAATAACACATGTAAAACCACGCCAGAGAACAGAGTAGGTAGGAACTTGTTGAGTCTATTACCAGACAAAATGTTTAAATCAATGGTGTGTTCTCATAAATCAAAAGCCATATTTAGCCCTAACTATAACCATCCCTGAGCAATGTGGAATAGAGAGAAAACACTTCTAAAAACATTTGGAGCTCCTAAACGAGGAAGGGAGGAAGCAGCAGATGAGACAAGCACAATGCAGGGTCATCTCCCAAAGAATTTATTTCACAGGTGAGAATGGAGGTGCCACAGCATTCAGGGCTGAGCAGAGCCTGCCAATCACCCCGACTTGTTCCAGTCTGGTGGTGATTTGGAGACATTACAGAACCATTTGAACCTAGTTAAAACTTGGACATTTATGTAGGGTTTGAGCTGTACAAATATTGAGCCCAGAAGAGCCAGAACTCTTTGCTACAGATCACAGACAAAAGGATTTGCACTGCAGACCATAAAAGATCATTCTTTTTCAATTACACTTGACAGGTCTGAGTTATTGTACAAGGAATAGGTTTGGAGCAGTAACAGTGAACCAGAGAACATAATGTAATTTGAGAAACAGCACAAAAACCTCATCACATCCTTTTCCTTTTCAGCTGGGAGTCTAAGATCCTATCTTTTCACCCCTCCATCCTTGTTCATCCCTTTACTCTTCCACTTGAGCTGCTTTGATTCAGATTTAGAGCCCCCATTCATCCCAATTAGATGGCTTTCTGTAAAGCTGCTTTCCAACCCTTGCTCTGCTTCCATTGACAGGATTTCACTGCTTTCCAGAAAAGTGATGGATTTCTCACATACCACAGTTTCTAAAGGTCCCTTCTTCAACAGCATCCTCCTCAGCACAGAAATCTTGAGCAGTTGTGTTAAAGCAGTGGCTCTGACCCAAAGAAGGATCTTTTTGCCTGCTATGAGCTCCAGCACTCCTCATTTTTATTTGCAGCAGTGCAAGCATGGATCCCAAAGCAGAGGCTGCTGCTCCGTGCCTGGGAACAGAAAACGAGGAGCAGGTCACCCCCAGGAGCCATCCTCAGCTCCCTGCCTGCAGATTTTGGGCTCCTGAGGGCCTCCCCGGGCTGCTGCTGGGGTTTGTCTCACAAGGAGGAGGTTTTTTCCTAGCCCTGTCTGTCCATCTCCCCTTCTTTACTCTGTTCAGTCACCGAGTCCAGTCCCACCATGGGATTTTATAAACTTCATTTGTTCCTTCAGGCAATTGGTTTTACTGGAACTGCATCCTCCCTAAGAAATCCAGGACAATTTGCTTCTGCTTTTGCTTGCAGTGCTTAACACGTTGTCAGCACTCCCACTGAAGCAATCACACTGAAAATAAGAGTTGCTTCTTCCAGTTCTGGCATTTACACATTTTTATGAGACGCTGGAAAAGTACAATTGGATATTTTCCCCCCTTGCAAATGCTGAGACAGTAATAAGTAACAGATTCACAGAGTTCTGTCTCGGATCTAGGTGTCTCTGACATGTACCGTGTCTTTCAAATATATTACACACTCTAATGCTCCTGTTATCAAGAGCTTAAGCTTTTTACATCCTCCTCTCCCCATCAGCAGTGGAACCAGGGAGGATTCCCACCACAAAGCTCCCCTCCACACTTCCCACAAAACAAAGCAGCCTGCTGGGGCTCCAGTTGGGAGCAACTTCTTGCATCATCTGGGATCATTTTCTTACCCTATTATTACCTCTAATCACCAATATTTCAGTGTTTCGAGGAAGTTTCAAAAGGGGAAGGCGGTGAAAAATTATTTGAACAAATAATATTGTGAAGCAAGCTCAGAATCACTCCACAGTGTTTGGGACCTCCTCCTAATTCAAGAGCTGTTCATGGGACACGCCTGGTGGGACCCTCTTCAGCCCTGGATGAACTGTAGCTTATCTGATGGCACGAAGACATAAGAATTCAAAATTTTGGAGTGGTTTGGGTAAGAAGGGACTTTGAAGATCATTTATTCCCACCCCACACCTTCCACTAAACCAGGTTGCTCCAAGCCCCATCCAACCTGGCCTGACACACTTCCAGGGATGGGGGGCAGCCACAGCTTCTCTGGCTGCTCTTTTTATCCCCAAAGAATTTAGGTCCAGTTGAATCCAAATGAACATCCTAAGACAAATGCATGAGGCAACCCTTTGCGATGGCTCTGGGTAGAACGCTGCCAGAAAGTGAAGGGGGAATGAAAACTGAGATTCATTATGTTTAAAGTGGACTTTTGACCAGGAAGATGAATGGCTGCATTTTTGTGGGCAGATTTACAGGCCAAATGAGTCCCTGGTTTAACCTCTGAACTCGGAGGGTTTCATAAAGGGAGGAATTTGCCTATTGGGGGTCACGCATGTGAATTCCCAGGCATTACAAGATTGAAGCTGTGGTCATTTCAACCTAGAAGAGAAAGGAAAACCCACAAGAGGGTGGGTAGGGAAATAAGATTTAAGAGTGCTGCTTCCAGACCGTCAGACAGCAATGGATACACTCAAGAAAAAAGCAGATGCCCTGGAAGAATTAGAACATCAAAATGTTTGGTTGTGTCTGCTCTCAGGTCATTGATGACCATGGAAAATCACATCTTGCAGTGCCCTCAACCAGAAAATCCCAGTTATTCCTGACTGCTTAGTAAATGCCTGACCTCTTTCCATGGAAAGATAGGCATTGTCTTCTCCTCACCGCATTTTTTAACACAAGCACCTGCTGGAGTTACTGCCAAAAAAAGGTGAGAGGAGCCACATCACCCCAAACAACTGCACCAGCTCAGAGGAGGAGAATCACACAGAAAATACAGATTATAAACCAGAAAACTCTTCCCAATTTCAGAATATGGCAGAATTTCTACAGCACTCGGATACATTCAGCATACATACCCAAAGGTAAATATCACAGAATGGTTTGGGTTGGAGGGAACCTTAAAAAGAATTTAATTCCAACCCCCCACCATCTCCAAGAGCTGTAAATGATTTAAGAGTGAAAAAGGGAGTACAAATACCAAATGTAACATGAATAAATATTGGAAGCTGGCCCTGGTATCATGTTCAGTGGGCTCCCAGCTGATTCTTCACCCACAGTGCATTTGCCTTTCCTTCCTCCCAGCTGGCACTGAAGTAGCAACAGCCTCAGTTACAGATTTTGGGAAGTTTTTTACTGTTACCAGACTTGTAGCAGCATTTAAGGCTGCACTTAACATAAAACTGAGCTATTTTCTGTCTGTCTGTAAAAACAGAACACGAGCTAACATTAAATAATAGCTCAGGCAGGGTTTTGAGGCCAAAATCCCATTCCTACTGGATTTTTAAAAACACACTAACAATGACAGCCCTTTGTTGATGCAGGCTGGTTTCTGGGAATGCAGTGACCAAGGATTTGCATCTGTTTGCATGTAGAAGTTGTAACTGTTGAACAAGCCAGAGCTCCCAAGCACAGATGAATGTTTGTTGATTCTGTCCTAATTGGTGTTGCATTAATACCAGCAAGAGATCCCAATCCTACAAGTGGTGCTACAGAAACAGAACAGATGCTCTATTCCAAAGATCTCGGCTTAAAACTGAGCCTGCAGCTTAACACCAGCCTAGCAAAGTCCCTTAAGGTACCAGTTGTTTAAAAAAAAAAAAAAAGAAAACATTTTTAGGAATAGTGTTGACCTTTCTGAGCTCTTTTCTTCTCCAGGGAAATTTAATTTCATTTAGAGGAAATATAACCGTGCTGTTTGAAAGTATGACAAGGGTTTTTCTGCACTGTCATAATTTTCTTTGGAACACAAAAATCTTCCTGATATTACCAAACAAACAGAAAATCTTACAAATATATTTCACCAAGCAACAAAAGGGAAAGTAGTTAAAGGGTTTTATCATTATAAATGGCCTTGTGCTGAGGTTATTTTCTGTATCTTTTAATCCCTTTCTGAAAGGTCTGGAAGCTCCCTGTGTTACCCATGAAACCTTCCCACAAAGTCACCAACTGCCCCTTCCCAGCGTCCATTACCATCAAGTCCACTGGAAATTTAGGAGTGGTAATCCTGACATGGTAATCCTGACATTTAGAGATTAAATCCTGATTTAAGCAAAATAACTCTTCTTTAAAAAAAAAAAACAAAAAAAAAAAAAACCAAAAAAACTGGATGTTGAAGGCAGAGAGTTGGGCTGTGAACAATAAATAATGTAAAATAACATAATAATCATTCCCAGAATGATTTGGGTTGGAAGAGACCTCAAAGCCCATCCCATTCCACCCCCTGCCGTGGCAGGGACACCTCCCACTATCCCAAGTTGCTCCCAGCCCTGTCCAACCTGGCCTTGGACACTTCCAGGTAGAAACACTTTGATCTCCAACTCTCAGCTAGGAGGGAATCTGCAGTCCTAGGAATTTCCCTGAGAATTTGCAGGTTTTGTTGGGCCATGGGATAAGAGACATGGATTGGTAACTGTCTTAGTGAACTTACAGAACAGAAAACACTGCCACAAGAATCTTCCCTGCTATCTAACATCTTTATCAACCAGGTGAAAAATAATGAACTCTAATTCCTCTTCCACTTTTGTTTCTCCCACAGGCATATCACAGGCAGGTTTCCTGACTATCCCCCTGAGAAGACAGGTGGTTCCAAGGGTATTTTTATTGAAAAACATCCAGAACAGGTACTGTCCCTCTTTTAATGAAAAAAAAAAATCATGGTGTTGGAGAAGGATTTGCCACAAAACATGTCTGTTTTTTTAAGTAGCAATTTTCCCTAACAGTGGCTCTAGTTCTCCAACAACCTTATGGTTAAAAACTTTTGGTTGTAAATAAAAGAATGAGTTTTTTTTTTCCTCAGGGTGTTTCCAGTCAGGTACCAAAGTCTGTTCCCTTTTGGGCTGTGCAGCCACTTAATAAAGACTGAAGGTGCTCAGGTGATGAGAAAGAATTAGAGAACAACAGCAGAGAAGAGTTTCCAGTGCAGGCAGGGCTAAGCCTTGATTTACTGCCAAGGCTCATTAAGCAAATTGAACATCCCAGTGAAGGAAGTATCTCAGTTTATCTTGTGTGTTGTAGGTTGTTTTTCCTGGTAAATCCCTCTCCTGATTTCTCTGGCTAATGGAAGTGACTGATAATCTCTTCCTCTGATCACTGAGTGTCACACAGGGAAAGTGATTAAGCCCAGCTGAAGGCAGTGCTCAGCACTTGGAGCCTTTCCCACCCATCCCGAGGAGCCAAGGGGGTAATGGGTCTGTTGGGGGAGAGCAGCAAGCAGGATTTGGCCCCTGAGTGAACCACTGTGCTGGGCTCGCAAAACTAAGAGGTCAAAACTCAAATTCTGTGGTCCTGAAAGCCCCACCCCTGAGATTGTTGCATGATTTTTCTGCATCTGGTGCTCTAATGCAGGCATGGTAAAAGAGGGTTTTATAGAATCACAGAATGGTTTGGGTTGGAAGGGACATAAAAATCATCTCACTGCAGCCACCCACACCTTCCACTAGCCCAGGTTGCTCACAATCCCATCCATCCTGGCCTTGAACGCTTCCAGGGATGGGGAATTTTGGATCCAGTCCTCCCTGGAATCCTGAGGAGGAGCCTGGGACGCACAGCAGTTTCTGTGTGGTTTGGGGGGACAGCATGGAGCACAGCACTAACCATCAGCTAGCTTTGCTAAAAACAGAGGAAAACTGCTGCAAACAGCTCCCTGTGCCCCACTAAATCTGAGTTTGGGGCATGCTCCTGCTTTCAGCCAAGTTCAGGGGCTGAACCCTGCTGGACTCTGCTCTGCTGTTCAGGCAGGCAGGGAGGAGGAGACCCTCAGTGAAGTTTTCAGCCTCCAAAGCAGAAACACATGCCAGAGTCCAGAAGGCTTTGTTGGGAACCCCCCAGCAAGTGGAGCTGATTGCTGGGGAAGGGTTTGGGGGATGTGATGCCAAACAGAGCTGCCAGCATCAAGGATTAAAACAGCTGGGGGAGAAAACACGACAAGGAATTATTCTGAGCAACACTGGATATGGAGGTGGATTCTGGAGAAAGGGGTTTAACCTTCCTGTCATGCTCCCAGCTTGCAATTCCCACCTTGAGCTGTTTTGTTGCCTTTCCTGAGCATCTGCTTTTTCTTTGCATGGAAAAAAAATGGAAGCCAAAAGTCTGGAGAAGTTGTTTTACTGCTTGTTTTCCCTGCACCCTGGGAAAAAAAAAACCTTCTTCTATTTTCCTAACAAATTTTCACTAGCAATTATCTGATTTTCACCAATTTTGGAGCCTGTTTTTTTCTCCCTTTTTAGCCAGCAGAATGTGTGTCACAGCCTCAAGAGATCTCCACAATGCAGCTGGCCAGAGAAAAGTTCAGTGCAATCATGATTTTACCTGAATGTCAGACAAGTAAAACATTTTTTGTTCCACTGAGTCAGCTGCATATTAAAAAATCCCTGAGGCCACTGGGTTTGTTCCACACACTGGTCTACTGGGCAACATAGGAAAGGAAATCCCAGCCCCATGGAAGCTGATGGGAGTTTTGTCCTTGGTTCCAGGGGGGACAGGAGTTCACCTCTTGTCTGTATGAGCTCCTGTATGAGCAGGGGTTGGTTACTCCCAAGTCAAACTCCATGAAAAATCAAGACTGAGCTGTATTTAAAAAGTGAGCATTTTATAAGGCTTCAGTAAAGACACTTTGGGGAAAATAAAATACAAATTAATCACTTCACGAACCATTGCTGCATTATTATACATTCTATATTTCTTGATCCTTTGACAACCCTGACCTTACTTGACTTTGTAATGTAGCTGGCCTTCTGCACAAACTGCTTCCATGACATTTTACAAATACCTTCCCAAAGACATCCCAATGCAGAGCATTTGGTGCTTCAGTCAGAAAAAGAAATGCTGTCCCTTGAAAAGAAGCTTTTTCTCTACTTTACTTACTCTTCAAGAGAAATTCAGCATTCCAGGACATCAGTGTAATCTCCCTGCATCTGTTCCAGATTTCCATCCCTAATGGCTTTTTATGTTTTGCTCCACAAATAATCATCAGTTGTGACAATTTCCAGCTTTGCCCTTATCCTGCTGCCAACAAAATTATGGTCTTTCCCTGTAGTTCATTAAGTCTCATCACCATGAAAATAAGCCAAGAGAGTTGCCATTTCACAGGCACTTCCCCCTCTCCCAGCTCCTCATTTCCAATAATAAATAACATTAAAAAAAAAAAAAAAGGCTTCTAAAAGCCTTAAAATATTCTGAATATTTCAGCTATGCAGGAGGAGGGGAACTAGGGAAACTGTACTACACAACGCTTAAAATACTCACCTACAGCAGCAATATACCTTCCCCAAAAAAACCACACCAAAAATCCTCCATAAAGAAGAAACATTTCCTAGATTCCAACAAAACTCCTTTCTGTAGATCAGTATTCCAAGAGAGGAATTTTTCCTCCAGGAACACTGGGCTGTGTCCCTGCAAAGTGTTAGAGCCAGGTTCTGAGGCTGCTCTCACCTGTCCCAGCTGGAGATCCAGCATTCCCAAACTCACTCTAGCCTTGCTTTTCTTTTGTGCCCACAACTCTAAAAGGCAAGCAGTTCAAGTAAGGTTTTCTTTCAAGGAATAAGGAAAGGTTTTATTCCTGAAGAAAACTTTTACCTGAGCCAACACCAAAACTTCCTGTCTGTGGATAGCAGAACAGTGAGTCCTGCTGGCAGCTGGAAATTTTCTTATTCTTGGCTCATGTAAACCAGCATTAGACATTTTCATTCACAGGCTACACTCTGGTTTAGTGCCTAGCTCTTCCCCCGCCTCCAAAAAGAAGGAGATTTGCACTGCAAGATTTTAGAAACATGGTTGAACTGATATAGGAATACAAAAGTCAATTCAACTTTTAAGGATCATCAGTTTTAAAGGAAAATGTCTTTTCAGCCACTGAAGAAATAGTTACTGGAGAAGAATAATCACTGGCACAATAGGAGTCCTAGGAAAGACTGGGAAAAAAAACAAAGAGGCTAAAATTCATGTGCTTCTACTGAAACAGTCTCTTCCTCAGTATTAAGAGTTTGCTAACTACTTTCTGTATAATTTCAAAACCAAACAACCTAGCAAAGAAAAGGGGAGTCCAAAACGACTTAAGAAGACATCTACTTCTCTTTCCACCATAACATTTTCTCCAGGGAAAAAAAAACCAAAAAACCCTAGACTAAAATGTGGGTGAATTGCCTACTAATCTCAAACTAACCTTTGCTTGCCATTCCCTTTCTTCCCTCCTGTTTTGTCAGATGGTTCAGGCTCCTCCTTGCAGCTGGAGGGAAGTGGTTCTGTATAAAAGCACAGAAGCCACTCAAGGTTAGACACACAGCTTCCCCCAGCTCTGCAGTCCTGGAGCTGCTTGGAGCAGAGCTGGAGGAGCTGCAGCAAGGACAAGGACACTTGAGCTGCTCAGTGCCATCCCAGCAGGTTGATGAGAACACAAACTCTGGCTCACCCCTTCCAGTATCACTGCTGTGTGCAGAAACATGAAAGCAGATCCCTGCACGCAGAGTGTGGATGCACTGAAATGATGCCTGCAGAATGGCACTGCTGCAAACTGGGACCTTTTGTCAATCACATGTGTGTTTGCAGGTATCCTGCTGGACAGAGCCAGCCCTGAGGTGCTGGGAATGGTTCTGGTTCCCCTTTGCAGGCAGAGCAGAGCAGAGGTGACAGGGCTGGGTTTCTGGCTGTGGAGGAGCACTCAGTAAAGGATACACTCGGAGTAGCTCTGTTGGTTTTGGATCCAACAGGCCCGCTGGGACACTAAAAACCTATTCTGAACTCCAGTCAATCTGCTAATCTATCCCAGGGAATGAAATGCTTCGCTGCTTATCACCACAAGATGTGACTGAGCAGTGCTCAGGGCTTGAATTACCATATTTAATTAAATGTAAGGTACTGAAGTGCTTGGGAGAGCCACTAATGGAACTGCCCTGGCTGCAAAGCACAGCCCTTGTCATTGTCCCCTTCCAGCATCCAGTGATCAGTACATTAAAAGGTATACTTGAGGAAACAAATATTTTCACTGTTACAGGAAACACATTTTACAGTTGGAAATGTTTTATTTTCCACTCTTTCGCAGTACTGCCAGTGTTAGTGGTCCATTAATAAACTTCAATGGGTTTTCTGATTTAGACTCATTAGTAAATGATCTTAGAATTCCTCTCAGGGAGAAGAAAGCTGCCTAGAAACAAGAGAATGGTGGAAGCAGCAAATTTTCACCCTGTGCCTTTTTCAGATAATAAAGTATAATTGGCCAGGAACGGAAGATATGGGAATTGATGGAGCTGTACCCAGTTATCAGCTGCTACTTGCTTGCAGGGATAAAGATGCTGAGCTGTCCCTGTGTATCTGTCAGGGTTTGTCACAATATCTCCATCCAATCTCCCTCAGCCACTTGAACAATTTCAGTCTTTAGCCATATATTGAAATTAGACACAGCTCAGGGCAGCCTCTCAAAATCCATCCCTGTAAAATCAATCTGCCTTACAAACACCAGGACAAATTCATCATCTGAGTCTGAGATAATTCATTATGAATTCATCATCTGGGTCTGAGTCCAGAGGGAACTTTGAGTTGTGTGTCATTAGAATATTCTGCTTCTGGATAGCTTCAGGAACTGGTTTTACTCCATAAAAGCCCCCATGATTTGGGACAGAGAAATCAGCCTTTCCCTAATGATAAATTGGGATATTCACCAGCTCTGCTGGAGCTGGTCAGCACTAAAAGGCTTCTCTGGGATGGTCTGGAATTCAGAGAGTGCAGCCTGTTGGATATTGTGTTTTCCCAATCTCATTCCTCCCTGCATCTTTCAGGTCCTTGAAGAGCTGGCTGCCAAAAAGGCAAAGGCAGAGGCAGAGAAAAAAGAAAAGGAGAAGAAGGGAAAAGAAGACAAGGAAACTGCCCGAGAGAAAAAGCCACCAAAAGTTGGAAAGCCGGTAAGGAATGAAAGCAGGTTGTGAAGCCTCAGGTGTGGGCAGGGGCTGTAAAGTGACATTAAAGTGTCACCAAAGCTCCAGGCCCAGGTTCAGGAGATAAAGAACTGGCTGAGGTTGGTCTCTCTCAGCCTTCTCATGACCTCAGTGATTCTGGGGAACTTTTTACCTCTCATATTTTAGGAATGGCCACAACTGAGCTCAGTGGGAAGAACTGATGGAGGTACAGATTGTCAGGGACATAAATGAGAGCAAAAATCCACTTTGGGGCTTTGAGATCATTGCCAGGACACAAAGTGGTAACCAAGCATTCCCACTTTTAATGTGGGTGAATTTTAGGGGAGTTCATCACTGAATTGCAGAAGTAGGAATCAAGAGCTTCGGAGTTTGTGTGGATTTCAAACTAATTTTTAAACCCCATCAGCCATGCACAAATAAAGCCATGCATTTTACATGTTCTCAGGGTGGGAATTAGTTTTGTTTCAAATATGAATAGACACCATTTAATGTGCAATATACCCCCTGAAATCTTTGAGGTAAAGGGCTGCTTTCACAAAAGACACTTCCAAATTATTTCAGGAGCAGCTTCACAGAGCAAACCACCTGTGGAACAGAGTAGTGACCAAAGGGCATCTTCAAAAGCAAGCTGTGCAACAAAAATTGCCAGCTTTTGCTGAAGCAGCAGCTTTTGTTTCTCATTTACTCCCACAGTATAAACAAAAGTTAAAAGAATATATATTTTTTTTAATAAAGGTCATTAATCGCTCACTAAATATGTGGAGGAGAAGGGTGAGTTTTCTAGGGCAGAGCTTACTCTTCACTGCAAGTTTTACACAAATTAATTTGAAGGCCTAACCCTAGAACAAATATATTTCAAAAAAACGATGCTTTTCTTGGACATCATCCATTAATCTGGCCAAAGCTCTGAGAACATCTAGCCAGGAACCTAATTTACATGAATTTGGGGAGCATCAGTCAGTTTAATTGGAAGGCAGATACCTAAATGTTAACTTGTAAAAGAGCATCTTGACAATCCTATTTGGGGGTTTGTAGTGGTTTGTTTTTGTTTTTTTTTCCCTTAAATAAAAATGTAAATGAAAATACAAAAATGCAAATGAAAATACACAGCAGGCTGAAGGAGCAAATACATGAAAGTTTTTCAAGGTCTTTAAGCCTGATTGCTTAACTTTGGTAACTAGGAAGGGTTGTGGCTGTTCCTGTGCAATCCAAATTTTTAAGTCCTGTGCAAATTTTTAAGTTCTGGTCACAAATGTCTTCAGTCAATCACTTATTACTGTGACCAATTTGCTGGTGACACTGTCACAGCCCTGGTGAAGCTCTTGAAACTGGATGGCACCTCACCCATCTGCTTAAAAACCTGACTTTCACAGGATAAAATTGGATTCCTTCTTGGTTTTGCACATTTCTGAAGATAAGAACCAACAAGAGCAGAAATGTGTCTCAATCCCCTGGCAGCCTCTGCGAGGCTGTTTTGAATTGGGGTGAAATAACAGCGTGGAGCTCTGGGGTTTTATAACTTCATGTCATTCCCATCTCCTCAGCCATCACAACTCCTGTCAAGTAAAATTCTGAGCCATTATATCAGGTTCTCTATGGTTCATTGAGAAACAACAAAGGGAACATTCTCTCAAGGTTATAGCACTGACAGGGGGAAAAAAAAAGAGTATCTTAGACCAGTTGAGAAGTATTTGGAAAAGTTCTAACAGCAGGACTCTTATTAAAATAAGTGTAGGCTATAAGTCATAGGGATGCAGGCAGAAAAAAAGCTCTGCTCCCAACTTCAGCTCCTAAAGAAAACAAAAGTTGGATCCCAGAAGGAAATTTAAGTATTTCTGAAAAGCCTGATAGCAATCTTCACAAAAGAGTATTTGATATCAAAGGAACTTCACTTTCTTTTCTCTGCAAGGTGCTGATTTGATTTCCCTAAGGAAAAAAACAACCCACGGCTCCATCCCCAAAAAAATCCCTTTTTCCAAAAGCAGCAGGAGTCTGGGCTGCCTCACCCAGCAGCCTGCTGGGGCTCGTCCCACTGAATGTGAGCAAGGCTGTGCATCCCTGAATTTCACCCAGAAATGCCAAACAGTGAGGCACATTCCTGTCCCTGGTGAAACCTCTTGGGAAACCTTGGGAAATCTCCAAAGGAAATGTGCACAGTGCAGCCAGTTCAGTTTTCCCTGCTGTCCAGTGGGAATCAGATGGTGTGGAGCTGGCTTTGGAAAGCCTCAGAAATAGATTGAGGCTCTTATTTCCACATTTCTTAATTAATTCAAATTATATTGCTTAAATTCAAACATATATTGCTGGTTCAAGGGGTGTTAACTCATTTAAAACAGAACAAGCATGGACTCAATCCACTGAAAAGCAAAAACTATATGAACTGGTTTCAAAGGAAAAGTTCTTTTTATTATGTTGACTCTTAGGCTGTTAATTGAGGCAAGAGAAAACAGAGAAGCAACTGTCCTTAAGACAGAAGAGAGTGGGTTTGATTAAAATCAATTAAATTGACACAATGATATCATTGACATCAGTGTATAAAACCACTGAAGCAAATAACTAAAACAATTCATTGGCTTATTTATAACAATAAAATGTTGATGTGTCCTGTGATATTGAGCGGCTAAAAATGAAAAACCCATTTTTAGGCTGGTTGGGAGGAATTTGTTTGTTGGGTTTTTTAATAGTTGACACATTTCCTCGCAGAACATCATGCTTTAATCATTTTCTATAAAATGCCATGGAAAAAAATGGTCAAAGATGGATTCTGCCCACTGCAAATGATCCAAGGATGAACCTCAAAGTGCCACACCCTGTAAAACTGGAAATACATTGGAGTAACTGGGGATTTGAGCTCAAATCCTCCAACTTTTTGTTACGCTTTAAACAAAGTTCTGAAACAAAACAGTTCTTGATGTTCAGTGAAGAACCTCCCAAGTCTCTTTCAAATGCATCTATAGGGTAGAAGTGATAAATGTATTATTTTACTGTCCTTCTGGGTCCAAACTGGGATTACTTAATGAAACTTTAATTAAAACCAGATATTTGATAACTCCCACATTGGGGCTGCAGCTGTACCTGCAGGTAGCAGATACTTCCCTAATTACAGAGCTTATTTAGGGGGGAGTTTAGTTTTAATCATCCCAAGAGCTGCTGATATTTTATCTTGCTGATAACAAGTGGTTTGCAGGGTATTTAGCAAAATCCTGATTCTGTTTGGTATAAATCCACATTTACCTCCTCCCCAAACAGTGATCTAATCTGTCTTTTTCAACTGCTACCTTACTCACACCTTGAGACTTACAACTGATACAAAATGAAGAAACTTTGATAATTTTCTGGGAGGATTTCCCAGAAGGTTCAGTGAAATGAAAATGCTTCAAGAATGTGGCAACAGCAGCAAAAGTAACTGAAAAAATGGCATTTAAATGAAATTCCATTTCAATATTACAAGTCTCCTACCTTAATTACATATTCAAACAAGCTGGAGTTTAATTCTTGTTTAATTTGGTGACTTCAGCCCTTCTCTCATGGAGCAGCCTGGGCCAGTGGAAGGTGTCCCTGCCCATGGCAGGGGGTGGAACTGGATCTTTCAGGCCTTTTCCAACTCATTCCATAATTGTGTGAAACAGTGCTGTCAGCAATTCCTCTCTTCACTTTCCCCCCAATCTAGGTAGTGGATAAAAGCTGGAAAATGGCTCCAAGCAATTTCCTTTTGACGCTGGAGGAAGGAAGCTCTCAGTACCAAGGTCAGTAGCAAGAGATAACAATTCCAGCTGGAATGTTCTCCCAGGTAAGCTTAATGGCAATGTCATTCCTATAAGGTCAGGTGGGCAGCTGCCCAAACTATGGAACATTATAAAAATTAGAATGTTAGATTAAAAAATGGTATTTAGGAAGGGAGGCTCTCAGGACCTCAATTCTTCCAAGGAATCTGTCAAAACCATTGAGCTAATCATGCAGGAAGGGACATTTCTGTGGGTGAAAGTGAACAAACTGGAAGCAAAGTACTTCAGTACATAAAAAAAGGCATTTTAGGATTTTCTGAGGGCAGCAAGGATGACATCAGAATAGCCAATAATTCAGAAGCCCCAGACTGCAGATCAAATTTCAGCATCAATGTTTCCAGACTCCTGTAACTCTACCTGTCCTGTCTCCTCCAAGAGTGAAAACTCATGGAAGAGTCCATGGATTCCTTCACAGTTACTCAAATTATTTTTTATTATATCTTTGAATAGGAGGAGCATCTTCTCAAGCAGAGGCACAAAACTCTGAATGTACTTGCTTCATGCAAAGTGTGTGAAACTAAAACATAACCCAGACTTTCAGCAAGGGGCTGGCTGGTTTTTCACCTGGAGAAAGCACCAAAAAGCAGGGATTTCTTAATAAAAACCATGAAAGGGCATTTGGTTCTTTTCCAGATCTCTTCTATCCTCTCCTCTGCTTTTGATACTTCTGTTTATCTCTTCAGCACTTGTCCTCAGTGCTCAGCCTGACCCACAAGTGAATTAGGAAGTCTTGCACTTGTCTGAAGTGAAGAATGAGGTTATTTTTGCAGTATCTCTGCAGATTCTGTTCTGATACAATGTGGAAAAATATCTTTTCTGCTCTCCACTCCTCAGAGCTAGTGCCTTGCTAAAATTCCTCATATGAAAAGTCTCCATTATTCCCTCCTGCTGACAAATTACTGGTGTCAAGTATTCCGCTTGATTTGAGCTGGCTGGAGAGAAAGAAGTGAACTTAAACTTGCTAAATGTGCATCAGTAGTTTGGCCTGACCTCTGACTCGTAACAATTAGGATTTTCTTACACCTTATAAATCACAGAGCAGCTTTCTGGCTAAAAAAAGGAGCTTTGCATCCCATCTGCTCTCAACTACCACGTCAGAACCCTTCTGAAGGCAGCAGGAGATTTAGATAAGCATCAAATCCATCCAAACTTCTTTCCTGAGCTGGCCAAGGATGGAATGGCACCTGGAAGTCAAAGGCAGCCTTGGCAAGAGTGGGGCTCCCAGGCAGGCAGTGCCCAGGCAGGGCAGGAGCAGCAGGAGGGAGGCAGGAGGGGTTTGCCCTGGAGGAAACAGGGCTGTAAACCCAGCACAGCAGTGGGTACCAGAGTGAGGAATAAAAACACCACAGGGGGGGCTGACAGCAGTGGAGACTCCCAAATTTCACAACTATCTGGTGTGAGAAGCCAGGGGGTTACAAGGGGATGGGGGATTTGTCACCAAGCTGTATCTGATCACCAGGAGCCCTGCTCTGAGCCCTGCAAACACAGAACTTTGTGGGGTTATTCCCACAGTGGGAGCACCTCTTGCCTTCCCATTTCCCAGTTACACACCCACACACCTCCAGCCCATCCTGCTGGAGCTGCCAGCTGCTCCCCAGCTCTGAAGGCACATGAGAAGGAGCCCTTTGCTGCACGGAGCACAAGCAGGAACCCTCAGAGTGGAAAAGCTCTCTTGCAGGCTTCAAAGAATACCTGCAGTTCTGGCTTAGGCACAGGAGGAGTCTGTAGCTGTGCAGTTCAACTCCAAGTGGGGTTTTTTTCCTCCTTTTCTCCTGGTGAACCAGGTCTGTTTGACACCACACTTATTTTTAGTAATTAGCTGATTTAGCTGTTAATTCCTACTGCAGCACTTTGGGCTTTTCATTGCAGGGCACTCACACAATACTACCTGGGGGTTGTCCAAAATTATTTTATTTTTAATCTAACCATGGATTCTTTGAATCACATTCTTTCATCACAATCAAATCTACAACAACATCCAGAACAACACAAGCATTCTCTTGTATTTTTAATTTTAGGCTGCTTTCCTCTCAGTAGCAGAATTATGCAGGAAAAAATTGTTCTGAGTTTGGACTGAGAAGGTTTTTTTTCCCTAATCTTATGCAGAAATAGGTCACTTGCTATCAGCATTTGCACAGAAGTTCAGATTTATTAGTGCAAAAACCTTGAAAACATGATTGAAGCACCAGAGCTTGATTAAGAAATGTTTTTATCAGGAGTAATTCAAAGTGTGTCTAAGGTTCACCTAAATGACAGCTGACCAAACAACAAACATCTTTGTTTTGTCACAGCCCCCCACACTTAATTTGAAGAAAGTGTTCCCATCCCATGAAACTTGTGCTTTATACCTAGCTTACTTAAATATTTTTTAACATATAGAACAGTTTTGACAAAAATCTAAACATTTCACTTACAGACTTTTTCTCTCTGTGTTTTTAACTCCTCTACCAAGCTAGAGCTGCTGCCTAAACTTCACTGGAAGCCTTTTATCCTCCTAGAGCTGTACCTGGCCATTTTTCTAGTGGCTAAATTCCACTTGCCAAGCTCTAAAACACTTATTTTAAATGATGTGGTTGGAAACAGCCTCTTTGTGTGGCATCTCCTTTCACACTGGAATAGCCAGAGTTTACATGGGGCAAATGTAAGGCTGAGCCACCACCTCCCTCTTCCTGGGGTGTATTTTTGCAGTGTGAGGCAGCAATGTGCTATTTTCCCCATTCTACAGATTATATTTATGACTTGCTCAGTGTCACAGAGGATATTTGACTTCAAATACTCCATGGAGTGTCCAAATACTCCTTGAAGGTGTGGTGATACTCTGTATTTTTAACCAGCCTTCAAAAGATTCAAATCCTTTTGCTAGAGGTTCAAAGTGGCCATTTCAAGAGAGGCTTTGTGATTCAAATAAATATTTTAGAATTGTTAGTCACAGGCTGTTCTGTGAAAATCTGGGATATTGGAGTTCCCTACTGGCCTGCAGAGCTGGGATGCAGATTTAGGAGTGGTCTGGGCTGCCTTTGAGCCCTGAGCTAGCCCTGCATATAAAACAATCCCAAAATAAGCATACACTATTTTAGAAAAGGTGACATAAATTTCACTGCCTACACACAGGCACAGAAATAGCTCCTGGAGCTGGCTGACCCTGCCTGTAACAAAATACCAGACTCTACTGACCAGCCAGTGAAAACATAACATCCTTAGCCTCCTGACCCCCCTTTAAAATTAACTTTGAAACATTTTGTTGATCTATAAAAGAATAACAGAGCATCTAACACCTATGAGTTATTGATCTCTCTCCTAAAATTAGGCCCCTCTAACCCAGTGGTTAATATAACACTCAGATTACTCACTGCCAGGTAATCCCAGAGTCTGGGGGGACCCTCCCTGCTTTGCCTGCAGTGGGTATTAACCACTAATCAATCTACAAAATGACAATAAACAATTATGAAAAAAAAAAAACAGAATAGAAAAACCTATGGATCCCTTTATGAAAAATAAACCTCTAAAACCTGGTACTCCTGTGAAAACATAGCACTTGCAACCTGTTGACCCAGTCAGGAAAGTGTTTAAAAATTCACATAACTCCTATGTAATGCCCCCTTTCCCCAAGGCTGGAATTCCAGGCTGAAGGAGCTCCCTCATAACTTGGGCGAATCAGCTTTTCATCCTGAAATATTACATGACATCTGCCATGCCCTCTGATGACCCACAAGTAATTTAAAGAAATTAAATATCTGTACTTTGGAGTTTCTTCCATTACCAAAATATCCCCTGTCTTCCTCCATCCCCACCATTCTCAGTGCTGAAATTAAGATTACTGACCTGCAAGAACTATTCTCTCGATAAACTTTGTAAAACTACAAATCCTCTGCCTGGAATTGGGCACCTTTTTTTTTTTTTTTTTTTTTTTTTGGGGGGGNTTTTTGGGGGGTGGGGGGGGGGGCGGGGATGGAAAGAGCAGCCAGTCTTGGATTAACTAAAACTTGGATGTTAAAACCTTTCTGAATTTGCACGGTGCCTTCAGCAGGCAAGGATACAGGGGAGAATATCAAATATAATATCTGTACAAATAGAATGTCTGCACAAAACTGATTCATAGAAGAGCCAGCGTCTGAAAGTGGAAAACTGTCATTTCAAATCACTGGGAAATTGAATTAGCACACAGCTGGAGATTAGCTGTCATTTAGGAAGATACAATCAGGGCTTGAAAGGCAAGATATGAATTGTCTTCCTTCAAATTAGCTCAAGGAGTATAGGAAAAAAAGAGGTGTTTCCATTAAAACCAGGCACTTAGAGAACTCAGATATGCACTGAGCTCGTCAGACTTCATTTAGTTTTCTTTCTAAAGAGCAAATTGCACTTTGCCTCAACAAAAATAATGAGCTGCACCTCAGGATCATTAGGTACTTTATCATAAATAGCTTTTTTTTCATCTCCAGTTCCAAAATTCGCTGTGACTGGGTGCTAGGTCTCCTTATTGCTTCTCCTTTGCACAGCACTTCAAAACAGAGGGGCTGGATCAGGTGGGTCTTGTCTCTTCTGGGCTTAACTGCCTTTTAATTTCTGCAATGAGCTTAAAATCCCCTTAAAAAGTGAAGCCTCTGTGTGGCCATGCATCCCTTGTGGTCAGCTGCAGGTTGTTGCTCTGTCACCCTCGCTGTCCCCTCCCTCTCTCCCACCTCCACGTGCTCAGGGCTGGTTTTGTTCCTATTCCAGTGCCCCTATTCCCATATTTCAGCCTCCTGGGAATGACTACAAAGGCCAGCTCCCCAGGATGCAGCATGGGGATGAGCCATGGGGAGAACAGGGAAATTTGTGCGTTGAATGAACCCTTTTCCTTTGGTCACCAAGCCAAGTGACACTGGTGGAGAGCCCATCCTTCAGGGCAGGAGCCACCCCTGTGCCTTCTTCATGGAAAAGATCAAAGCCCTGTGCTGTTAAATAAATAAAATAATTCTAACATCAGGCATGGGACAGGGAGATTGAGCATGCTCCAGGCTCTCAGGTTTACAGCCTCACTATCCCATTATCCTCCTGAATTCTGATCCCATTCTGCAGCCCAAGGCAAAAGAAGAAATCCCTTAACCTCAGGATTTGCAGATGCTAACACAACAGGGCTCTGAACTTGCTGAGGGTCCCTAGAGCCTGCTGCTTTCATGCAGCTCATCATTTCATAAAAACTGCCTACAACCACCCTTTCTTGTGCCTCCAGAAGCAGCTGGAGAAACCAATGGCTTCTGTAACTTTTCCCCCTTTTTTTCTTTCTTTTGGCTAACAGTCTTTTGGGAGAACAGAGATAACAAATCGGATTTTCTCCAGGATCACGACCCAGAGCTGATCAAAGGAGAGGAGCGGGAAGAAGTGGAGGAGGAGATCAGAGTGCAGGTGTGCTTACAATAGCAAGAGGACACTGCTCACGTGCATTACCTGGCTGTATTTTTCTCCAGCTGTAAGAGCTGGCCCTGGCACAGCCCTTCCCTCCTTCCAGAGTCCCTACTACCTGTTCTTTGCTCGTTCAGCTGAACAACTCTCTGGGGTGAGGTGCAGAACAGAAAGCTGAGGGACATTCCTCTGTGTTTGTCTTGAGCAGGTCGATGAAGTGATGCAGGAGAAGCTGCTGAGAGTCAAACAGGCTGTGGATGGAGAGACAGGTCCTCAGAGCAAAGCTGGCAAAGAAAAGGTAAGAGCAGCAAGGTGGGAGAATTATGGGGTAGTCTCGATTCCATCAGTGCAGACCTCAGGGACAAACAGCAGAATGTCACCCCTAAACATTTACTGAGTTTCAAGTCAGGAACATCTGAAAATCTCTTCACCTGTGGGTGATTTCAGGGCCTTCTCCATTAGCTCTTGCTCTTTAACTTGTATAAATATTGCTTAGGGCAAGTTGAGCTATTCCAGAGATAAATCACTGCAAGATATTTCAGATTTTCACCCTCCTGACATCCTTGGATGCAGTCAAACAGCAAAATGGAAGCAATCCCTCTCTTTAGGGTGACCAGTTCAGATTAATAGTTTTCCAAGGAAAACAGGGATCTGGAGGCCAGTGAGTTTTCCAGCTGCTGGCTGTTTTCCTCGTGAATAAGAACTGGTTATTATGTTTCAAGACCATACACCAAAAAAATTCCTTCTGAATGTTTTGATGTAACCTTTCATTTGTCTGTAACACCACATAGATCACACACAGCCAGGTACTCATTATGTTACTACATCCCATTGAAGGGTTTGGGAATTTGCAATTAAGCCAAGTTTATTTAGGCATAAAAAATAGGTTAAAGCCCCCCCCTCCCCAAAACACAGCACATGTCATGTTCACATCTCGTTTTACAGCATTATGATATGAAGAATTCCACAGCTTGTGGTTCTCTAAAATTCCTTACCAAAGCATTTAAATTAGAGATCATGTCAGTGCAAAATAACTCAAAGCTTACACCCCACCACTCAATCAGCAGATCCACTTAAAACCCGCAGGGCAAATAGCCAGCCCTAATCTCATGCTGTATTTCATTTCTGTAATACCTTTTAGCATGCAAATACTTGCTGTTGCTCTACTTCTACTCAAATTATCTTTAAAAATGCTCTTTCTCCTGACAAACCTCCAGGGACAATCTAATAAGAAAAGACTGGGGCAGCTCTGAAAGCTGATCCCAATTGGATTCCTAAATCTGTTTCAAAAATAGGGGGGGCTTAAGACGTACAGACAAAATATTGCAACAATCTCCCCCAAGTTTTCATGGGCAGACACATTTAGATCAGCTGGTCAGTGCCCTGCTGCAAAATGTCACACTGGAATTACAGAGCTTTATCTTAGGGGCTAGGTTGGGGTTTTTTTTCCCTTCAATGTACTGTTGGAATAGCTTAGGGTGGAGGGAGATTATTTAACTTTTATCTTCCCAAGTTGTGCCAGTAGCCTGAGAGAATGAGGCAGGAAAAGAAGTACTAATTAGATAATGGAAATTCCTTAAAGATTTCATCTAAAAAAACCCCACCCAAGCCAAAACAGTTCTATTTGAGGGATGGGGAATGAAAGAAAAGATGCAATGTTAGTCAAAATACATCTTCCCTGTGCAAAGCCATTTAAAATGCCCATTCAGCATTGGCAAAGCCTTTTTCCAATTAGTATTTGCATAAATATCTCAGCCATAAACCAAACCAGTGCATACCTGTGCACACAGACTCCAGATCTGCTTTAGGATAACCTGTTCTAGATAATAAGAATAATATGACCTGGAAAGTTTTGGAAATAGCTCATTAACTTATTATTCAGCAAAAAAAAACCCTCTAGTTTTTCAAGCCACATCTGAGGTCCCATATGTCTCCCCTCAGCTATGCAGCATGAAATAACAGGTCCAGGTTCTCAGTGTAGCCAGGAGTGTGTCTGAGTTCACTGTGAAACATCCCCCTGCCAAAATCAAAGGGGATATTCTGCATTCTCAAGAGAATTCAACATTCTCCAGAGAAATCAGACCTTCTCCTGCACTCTGGCAGTGGGCAAGGGGCAATGAAAGGGTAATTTCTTCAGGAGAGCTTTTACAGGTGAAATTTTGTGTCTAGGGACCATCATCCCAAATTCCTGATGCCACATTTGGCCATTCCCTCTGTTTTAGGGAGGGATTTCTTCTGCTCTCTTTGTCAGGGAATAATCCCTACCAGAGGTAGGTGTTCTGTGCTTTTCCAAGCCTTAAGATGAGTAATTCACAACTGAGAAAATTTCTGTCAAATCCGTATTTAAAACAAAAAATCTGCCTGACCTACAGGAACCAATCTGAGATTTAAAGGCCCTTTTGTGAGAATACAGCAAGGACATTTTGGAACTGGACTCTAAAGAGAAATTTCTCCCCTCCAGTCAGTGTTCCAGACATCTCAAGTCTTAGATTTAAGACAAATAATATATAACATCTCCAGGCCTAGCCAGAGCCACTCCTTTATTTCCATAAGTTCTTTATCACTGATTCTCAAACCTTCAAATACCACTTACTGCTAAAAGCTGACACTTAGCCCTACCAAGAGCTCTTAGAGCTCCTGAAGATAAGAGGAGCTTCTTTGGAGTTTCTTCCATTACCAAAATATCCCCTGTCTTCCTCCATCCCCACCATTCTCAGTGCTGAAATGAAGATTACTGACCTGCAAGAACCATTCTCTCTATAAACTTAGTAAAATTACAAATCCTCCATTTGGCAGCTTTGTGGAAGAACAAACGTGAGTCAAAAAAATTGTTCTTCTCCTGACAAGTGGGTCTCCAGAGCAGCAGACTGATGTGGAAATAGGAAAACTAATTAGATTGCAGCTAATACTCAATAAAGCACACTGCTGTTACTGGAGTCACAGATCCTGTGCCTCTTTCCAAGCTGGAAGCTCCCCATACCCACAAATTGTGCCACCTTTATGGCCCAGCACTGACAGGGGACGGAGCAAGTGTCCTGTTTGAGACACTTGGCTGGCCTCTGATTCTTCCAGAGAGCTCCTGGTCCCATGACTGTCACTGGAAAGGGGATGGGGACACAACAGAAACAGAGGAATGTGGGTCAGCTCTGCTCTAAACTGCATTTTCCTTCTCTTGGCACAGTGGTAGCTCATCCCCTGCCCAGCCAGGGCTCACCAAGCTGGGACTGGGAGCACTGGGAAAGGACAGGCTGAGGAAGGGCTGGCAGGGAGATGTTCTCTGAGTGGGGAACATGGCAGTCACTGATCTGGAAGTTACATTTAAGAGCTTATCAGAGCTCTTTCTCTCAAGCTCATTGTGCTGCTTTTCCTGCTCTGCTCCCCCAAGGATTTATTTCTGATCCCCACTGCAGGTAAAGCAATGCATTGGAAATGAACACACCCACACATACACAAAGGCATGGCCAGAATTCAGGGGAAAAAAAGAAAAAAAGACAGAGAAAACCCAGGAAAGGGGGACATGAGAACCTAAGTGTGGAAAACTTGCTTCTGGACTAGGCCTCAACACAGCTTTGGAGATCCCTTTTTGGTGAATCTGGGCAGAAGCAAGAGAACCACAAATGGCTGTGACAGAAATATTGACAAGAGAGAAATAGAAATAGAAATAGAAATAGAAATAGAAATAGAAATAGAAATAGAAATAGAAATAGAAATAGAAATAGAAATAGAAATATGGAGGCCAGGAGAGAAGCTGGGTGAGAACTGAGGGAAGCTGGGTTTGATTCCCAAGCCCTGCTGCATTTCCTGTAGCTGCTGCACCCAGAGCCCTCAGCCAGCTGTGGGAGCTGTCACCTCTTTGAATCCTAAATCCAGCAGGGATGGTAGATCAGAGTCCCTTATTCAGCAAGTTTATTAATCACTAGGAACATCTTGGTTTGAGCGCTTTTTCAGAGTCAGAAGCTACTTGTTTTATCTCAGCACTGCCAGAACAGACTTCTTAACCCAGGCCCAGTGCAAAGCTGCACTTGCTCAGCCTCCCATCTTAAACATCTCACATGACCCAAGGAAGCCCTTAAAAAACTGCATCAGCTGCTGCTGGTTTCCCTTAAACCACAGGAGTACTGCCCTCCTGTCCCTGTTCCCCAAGGGAACCTACAATAAACAAGGAGAGGGACTTTTTACAAGGGACAAGAAGAAATGGCTTCCAACTGAGAATGGGTTTAGATGGGATATTGGGCAGGAATTGTTCCCTGGCAGGGTGGGCAGGCCCTGGCACAGGGTGCCCAGAGCAGCTGTGTCTGCCCCTGGATCCTTGGCAGTGTCCAAGGCCAGGTTGGACACTGGGGCTTGGAGCAGCCTGGAATAGTGGAAGGTGTCCCTACCATGGCAGGGGTGGCACTGGATGATCTTCCAAACCAGCCATTCCATGCCTCCATGACGTGTAGTGGCCATAGCTGCAGCCAGGACTTGTGAGATCACAGCCCAAGGGTGCCACAGGTCCTCCAGTTTCAGCCATTCCCCTCAGGGAGACATTTGGATAGCCTCTCCCTCCTGGTGCCATCCCAGCAGCAGGCAGTGCTCTGGAATTTGGTCTGAAATCAGGTTCTTCTCTGCTCCAACCTCTGAGCTACCCAAAACATTTTGCTGAGCCCACAGAGCAGGAGAAGCCACCCGCTGGGCATGGGACACAGCCCAGTGTCCCTGCCAGCTGCCACCTGATGGAGCTCACCCCGTGGGAGTCAACAAAGCAGGAAATCACCCAGTCAAGGGATGGCTGCACAGGAGCTCAGCTGGCATTTCAGACAGAGCAGCAAGGAGATTTCCATTATAAATGAGCAGCGTGTTCACATTCATTAAACATTATCATTTCCTAAATAAAAGCAGTTCCCAGTAAGACATTTTGGAGACAAGCCATTGTCTACAATTCATATTTTCCCTTATCACATCTCAGCCTGTGCCAAATTCCCCACAAATGCTGTTGTTAATTAGGAAAACACATTTTTCCTCCACACAGTTCATTTTTGTTTTGCTCTGGAGTTACTTTATTGGTGAAGCTGCCTTGAGGACAATACCAGTTGGCCAATAAATTCAACATATGCTTAGTGTCTTTACATAGGTTGAAACAAGCTTTTCCTCCCAGTCAGACACAAATATATGTAATTTCTAGCTTGTTGGAAAAGAAGTTAACAAGACAAAACAGGAGGAACAGCAAAAATAAACCAGTGACAGCCTCAATATTTCCACAGTTGTTAAAACAGCATGGCATGTGCTTTCTTCTTCCCATTCCTTTTCTTCAAAACAAAACGCCCCTGGCACATTTGGATGAATATTTGCTGCCAAACTTATTTATGTAAAGAAGACCGAGGTATAGTTCTCCAAATACAGAGTTGTTTGCTTTATCCTAACCCAAAACATCTCCTTTTCTCAGTAGCTGATCCATGTTGTGCTGGGTTTAGGCTGCATTTTAATCTGCATTATCTTTGTGGCATCACAAACAGGAACAGGTGACTGAACCACAGGTTCCTTACATTGTGTCTATCCTTGAAAAACCAGAAATTGATGTATTCCTGAAGGCTGCTGATCTATTCTGTGAAAAAGCCCAGCATTTTCCAGATAATTGGATAGGATTTTTTTTTAACTCAACAACACAGCCTCCAGAGCTCTGCAGAAGTATTCACTCTTATAAAAAAAGCTAAGTAAATGACTGTATTCCCAGGAAAGTGAACATAAACTTTTGGAAAGAATAAGCTGTCTTGTTCAACTAAGCATTTAAGCACGTGCTTAAATTTAAGCTGTTAGAGAAACCCCCTGGTGCACCAAGGTTTCTGTGTAAACAGCTCCACTGGAGCAGTGCTGAGGTGCTTTGCAGGACTGGAGCTCAGACACCACTGGTGGGCACTAACATGGATTAATGATGCCCTCTCCACACTGCTAATTATCCCTAACCATATTTATGGCTCCTGAGCTGTAATTAATGGAGGGGCTTGACAAGTCTGAGTCACATCTTCCTTATTTATGTTTACCAGGAGTTTTTTTGGTAAGGTGTAAAGAAATGAGGCGCACAAGTCAAAATCTTTCGGTGGTGAAATTGCGGTGAAAAGATGAAAAGAGCAGGTTGTGTTTTTCTGACCTCTTCAGTTTCTTCACTGAGGCATTAGGGAAGAGAAGGATGTCCAGTGGTTAGGAGGGTAGCCAGAGTCTCAGGAGCTTTTCCCCTCAGGGAAGCTGCTTAGATATTTTACTTCAATATATATCTATTTTTTAAAAAGATATGAACAGTTTCTGGAGCAGCTACTTGGACTCCACACCCTTTTCCTTCCTGCTTCCTTCTTGAGCAAGGGTCATATCCCCCCTCACCCACAGAACTGGGTTCCAGAAAAATCATGGAATAAGAATCATACAACTGGAAAAGGTCTCCGAGAGATCATCAAGTCCAGCCCTTAACCTGCACTGCCAAGGCCACCACTAAACCATGTCCCCAAGTCCCACATCCATACAGCTTTTAAATCCCTTCAGGGCTGGGGATTCCATCTCTGCCCTGGGCAGCTGTGCCAATTAAAAAAAAAAAAAGCCTAATATCCAAGAAAAAGGAAGGAGAGAAGCTTCTTCCCTTGGAGCAAAATGACCCTGGGATGCTTTCCTATGTAGCAGTGGCACTGCTGGTTAAGGACATGGTTTTTCCCTTTGGGCTACATTCAAACACTGAAACATTGGCTGTTCTGGCACTCACTTTGCTGCAGTACATCCAAAAATATTTATCTGTGCTAGAGTCACTAACTCCTGCTTGCTTATGTGGTCCTCAGGGAGACAGGACACCTGCAAAGAAAAAGATATCTGAGCTGGAGAGAGATCTGACTCCTGACAGGTAAGGAGACCCTCTCAGCATTACATCTCCATTATCAGCCTTGGTTTTCCTCACCTTCACCACCAGACACAAATTCAAATCCCCATTCTGCTGCCACACACCACCAGGACCAGTCCCATCCCCTGCAGGCAGGTGAACTGCAGTTGGCAGAGCTAAGTACCTGCAGCATTTCAGCAGGAGATTGGCCCTGGGTGCCTCTTTCCCCCTCTCTGCAGGTGCAGAAGCACCTGGCTGGTTTGTTGACTCTCAGATTTTCCATCCCAATAAGGGAGGCTGCAGGCAGGCCCCTGCACTCCCCAAATCCCCTCCATGGCTGAGCTGTAGTGTACATGCCATAAATCAGTCTCATGGATCAGTAAGAGTCCTGGCAGACCTGGCCACTTCTTGTGGACCCTTGCTCTTTGAAGCACTCCTATTTTATTTGGAGGATCTGAGAGGATTTCTTCTTCTGCCCTGCCATTTTCAATGAGAGTGATATGTTCCCTGATAATCCAGCCATTTTTCACCTGTGCACATCACCACAGGGAGCAACTGATCCAGGAGCAGGGCTGGAGAACAGCACAATGCCAAACACAATCAGTGAAATTCACCCCACAAACCCATTTGTGCAAGAACAGCCAGACCTGGACTCCATCACTTGGGTGCTGGCACCACACAATCAGCCAATGATCTCTTTACCTGCTTTAAAATATGTTTAAACATTTAGAAAACACCTCCAAGCAAATATTTAAAATCCATGTCTCATGGATTATAACAGAGCAGGACCTCTCCTACAGAACAGTGCCAAAGTCTGATATATTCCCTGCTTTTAAAACTGCTCTTGCACATACCTGCTTCTTTAGATATAAACTTACCATGCAGCCAGCTGAAAACATGAACTTTTTAGTAGCTGGCTTTTTATCTGGCATTTTGGCTCCCTGCTTTGCTCTTCCCTGCTGAGCATTTCAGAAATAACCCAGAGAGGGGATGAATAACTGAGATTCAAAATCTCCCTTTTGGCCCAGTGAAGGGGGCACAGGGGGCTTCAGTCAGCAAAGATTGGTCACATCACCCTCCCTTGCAGGGGACATGCATCATTTAACTGGCACAGTAAAAATAATAAACCAGGAAAAGTAGAAGTCCTGCTCCCACCAGAGCTGCCAGGTTAGTCCCATTCCACCTTCTGCCTGTTTTATGATGCATTCCCAACATAAAACCACTGAGGATGAAAGCAAGAGTCAGAGCAGCAAAATCAACCTTGTTGAAGGTGCATTAAATTTTGGATTTGCTTATTGCTACTCCTACATTAATTGTGCCACTAAGACTTCATAAACATAAAACTCCTCAGCTGAAATGGAAAAAAGGCTGCAGACCTCAAATTATACCTGTAGGTTTATTAGCCAGCTGAGAGGCACTATTAAATATATTTATTGTAGCCAGACCAGGACATCCCAATTAAGGTAGGCGAGAAAGACAGAATAATTGAGGGGAAAGAATGTGAAAATTGTGGAAAAACACTGAGAGATCTAAAAAGACTAAAATCAATATTGTTTATGCTGTCAATGCACTGAGAATTTCCGACAGGTTTATTCAGTTTACATCATCCTGGAAGCAGTATTACTCTATAAAACCAAGTGCCAGAAGTGTCCTTGACATTAATACTTAGAATTCCAAAAGAGAGCTTAGAGAAGATCCACATCAATAGAAAACCACACACAAATTTAAGTGTTTTAACTCCTTCATTATTTGGACCTACTGCCAGCCACTAATGGAGATAGGGAGAAACTTCCACTGGGGACCTTTTGCCCATTTGATGAAATCCCAAACTGGTTTGGATTGGGAAGAGACCCTAAAGCCCATCCAGTGCCACCCCTGCCATGGTCAGGGACACCTTCCATTACCCCAGATTGCTCCAAGCCCTGTGCAGCCTGGCCTTGGGCACTGCCAGGGATGGGGCTACACTACCACTGGACTTTTTTGCTCCAATCCCCCTCTGACCACAGCCCTGTTGATGGTGGAGCAAGGCATTCTCAGTGTGTTCCCAGAGAGATGAGGCTGTCTGTTGCCAACACAATAAATTCCAAGAAGAATTAATGAATTAGTACTAATTGGAGAGCTGGGTGAACAGGTATAGTAGTGTTAGGATTGCCATTATTGTGTAATTTAAAAATAATTTCCCAGTAATTGATATTAATGAATGAGCCCATTACACAAGTCATAACTGATCTGGCATCACCTGAAATGGGTAAATGGAGTCAGCAGGAGAGGGGGACCCAGCCTGTGAGGGAGGGAAGGATATTGCTCAGCACAAGACAGAAACTGTGCTTATTGATTTCACACCGATGGCACTAATCGTGCTACCTCTGAGCCACAGTGGGCATTTATAAAGCTGGGGAAACAAATAACTCCCAGGCTGGCTCAGTTCTGAGAGCACTGAGCTTTTCCTGACATTTCTGGGTGATGTCTCTTGCCTGTAGGGCCATTGATTCCCTGTACCAGGAGCTTGCAGAAGAAGGACTGGTCATCCAAGTCAAGAACGTGAATCTCTCTGACTACATTGGTAAAGTACCCATTTTAGAGCAAACGTGGTGTTTGGTCAAACCTCCAGCCCCTCCACCTTCACTGACCCCTATTTCAGCCAGGACTGAGTTCAAGTCACTGCACTTTGAATATCTAAAGCCAGGTATGCAAATCAAGGCTGCTCAGGAGCTTTCACTTCTGCTAATGAAGCCAGGACCTGTTTGCAGAGCTGGTGTTTAACTCCAGGCAGCAACACCAGCAGCCTTGAAGGGTTGTGGATGTCACAGCCACTCTGAGGTGGAACCAGAACACCCTTTAAGGAGCCCTTGCCAGGCAGTGGCAAGACAGTGCCAGTCTAACAGTGCAGGGGTCATAATCCATAATGCAGAATATTTCCCAGAGAGCAGCAAAAATTGTACCTTCTTTTGTTGTCTTTTGTAAAGACTCAGCCCCTTCCCTGCACCTCCCAGACTGCCCATGAACCTTGAGCAGTGCTTTGAGGCATATCTGGCCCTTCATTTGAGTAAGATGTGTCTCTGCCTAGTTCTGCATTTCACACTCCTCTTGTCTGGTTTCTGTTAGCTGCAACTGCAGCCAGACCTGCTTATCTATGCTCTACAGGGAAAAAAAAAAAAAAAGGGTAAAAAAACCCCCAAACCCCACATTTGCAGACTTTAGTGGGGTCTGCCACCATGCCCACAAACATTTGGTGGCACACAGTAAAATCACAGCATCTTAACAGCAAAAAAAACCCAAGATTCAGGTGTTTCAAAGGCCGTGGTTTGCATTTCCAGCTATCCAGAAGCAGAAGTGCTACAGGCTGATAATACAAGGCCAAGGCAGAAAGGACAAATTTTCTTCTATCACCCCCAAATGCCATGTTTATGTAAACTCTTAGAAGCCCCAGTTCAGCCTCCAGAGCCTCTGCCCATTCCTCTGAAGAGTTTGAATTCTCTCAATTAAGTGTCCCATCCATTTCATGTTCATTAAAGACAACCAGCTAAAGGAAGATTTTCATTCTGCCTTTGTTCTCCCAACCTATCAAGGTCACTTTTGTCCAACAAACATTCCCCCCCCTCCCCCAATGCTTTTAAAACAACACATCTCCAACCATTTTTTGAAATCCAGAAAAACTCTCTTGAAGGCTCCAAGGACACAATCAAAGCCTGCAGAGAAAGAAGCCTTCATCTGCTCAGCCTTCCAGGGCTGGAGCCTAAGGAAGGTCACTTCCAATTCCTGGGGAAAGGACAAAGAATGGAACTGTGCTACACAGCCAGTAAAGGACCGAAATGTCCCCCCTCTATGACAAACTGACATCACTGAACTAATTTTCTTGGTGACCTTATCTAAATTAGTCAGAGAATATCCACTGTGATTTATGTGCAGTTGCAATTAAACCCTTTGATGCCTTCTAATTAAATCTGTGAAGATTAATTCCTATCCTGTTCTTTTGATTTCTCCTTAAATAAAAGATAAAACCTGAAATTAATTTTATTCTTGAGAGGGGAGGGGGCAGTTGCACCAGAGCTTGTCTGCCTTTTTGCCCCCAAATTATACCTCCACTTTTGCTCTTAACCACTGCTAATTTGCCTCTGCTCCAGAGGCCTCTTGCCCTCTGCCTTTTTATCTCCAGTAAAACATAAGATATTATTATTTTTCAATAATAATCACCATAATGATATGTAATTTATGCTAAAAATAATCACTGACTACATCACAACTGGTTTTCCTGCTTGTGGCCCATCCTCCTGTATCTTTGTTCTCCAACATTGCTTGGATATGGACTTTGACAGGGAAAGCAATGTGATTATAGCTCTGCAACCAGAGGCAAGGCAAGATTAAATCATTTCAGTCCATGTCAGGAATTTTTAGTCTCCTTGGGTTGTTTTGTGGAGGTTTTTTTTGAACAAAAGGGGGGGAAAAATAAAGAAGAGGTGAAGTGCAAAGCAGAGAGCCCCACCAAATGAGGTGACACGCTTACACGTCTAACACAGCGAGGAGCTGAGATGGGACCCAGCCAGGGAAAAGCTTGTTAAAATAGCTTTTCCCCCTTTTTGAAATCCTTCTGAGAGCTCATGGTTCACTGGGATTCTAGCCCTGCAAAATCCCAAATCCAGGAATCCTTTGCCAGCAGTGTGATTTATGGCGCTGCTAATGATTCTTCTCCACAAAGTTTCTTTCAAAGGTTACTGGAAACCGTCTGCTCTCTGCTGAACAACTTCCACAGCCTGCTCAGCTCCAATTTCCCTTTGCACTTCACCTTTCTCAGAGCCACATTCCACCAGAATATTGCCCAGTTTGTGTCCCTGAGCCCGGCTCTGCTGAGTGTGTGTTACAGCCCTGTGCTGTGGCAGCTCCTCATTCCCCGAGTTATGCTTTCTACAACAACAGTGGCACATTTTTTGAGCTCCTGCTTCCTCCTCACAGGCTACTACGACTGTCTGAGGAGCATCCTTCGTGAGACAGGTGCCCAGCCCCTGCCCTCCATCCCAGAAGTCAGACAGCTTGTGGCACTCTATGGAATATTGCCCTTGGGTAAGAGCATACCAGAGGGCTGAACACGCTGGGGCTTTGCTTCCTGCCAGAAACTGCATTTTACTGCCTTTGACAGGGTTGATTAGTGGCAATCTGAAGCATTTTGCAGTCTAATTGTTTTTCAATGAAGCCTTCAGAGCGAGGGCTGGATGACTTGAACAGTGCAGAGAGGCAGGTATCCCCTCCCCAGCCCATCTCTGTTTGCATGGCAACAGTTTGTGAATGGCAGCGCATAAAGGGAACCCACTTGGGAAAGATAATAGCTAAAACAAGCTCCAGTGATCAAAATTAATCAAGTTAAGGGAAGGGCTAAGGTTGCAATTTACCTTTTACAAGCTGGCTAATGTTACTCAGTGCTGCACAATGCAATCGTTGGAGGAATTAGTCTGGATACATTTTGTGCATCGCAGAGAACACTTGTAAATGCCCTTGCAGTTTTAATGCCAGGCTTAGCCAATATCTAGCAAGGCTTTGCTGGGTCAGGTTGTCTGCTTTTAATGTAAAATCTATCCCATGTTTCACTTGGGAATGGCATTGTGCCAAACTCCAGCGATTGCAAGAAGTGCCTGTCTCAGGGGCCTTTACTCAAAACCTCGTTTGTGTCCCTTTCCACTCCTGATGGGATTTTCAAGCCTCAATACTTCACTCGCATCCTCTTCCATTCCTGAGTGGATCTCAGGGAGATTTTAACTCCTCCAGGCTGTGTCAGTGTCCGCTCATCCCCTTCAGAGGGCAAAATCACCAACATCTGCCTGCCTCCCACCCTAGAACACAGAGCAAAGCTGACACAGAACTTCTCTGTTTCCCTCCTTCCAAAGTGCTCAGGTTATTCTTTCCTCAGCCTGGATGGGGCTCTTCCCACCTGGAACAACACCCTCAGCTGGTTTGGGGTAAGGCTGAAGGTCTGCAATCAGCTGAGAGAGCTCAGCAGTTACCCCGTCTGCGCCATGTATTTCACATATCCCCAAACTCCTCCAAAGCTATGTTTTGACACCATCTGATCTAGGGAAATCAAGCCCTGAGACACCCCTTAATCAAGAGAACCCATAAATTTTCTGCCATTTATACAATTGGCAAAAATTCTAGGGAGAGGAGACCCTGGACTAGTTAAACAAACAAAAGGTACTTGCAAGAGCAGTTTGAAAAATGCCTTTGAGTAGCAAAGCCTATTACATGAGCCAAAAAAAAAAAGAAAAAGGTACAGGAATGGTTTCACCTATGGGGTGATCTGTTACGGATGACATTTCACTTAATTGGTCTCCAAACTAGTTCATCATGAGATAATTGTGTATCACAGAAGTGAAAGTTTTTCTCAAAATAGCCACCTGATGGCAAGGAAAGCCCCAGCTTAAATGGCATTAAGAAAATTACAAGCAGCTGAAAGGAGAAAGAATAGTAGAAGCTATACTTCATCTTTAACACAGAGGAGTCTGCTGCTCCCCTCCTAATAAATCTTTGTGCAATAGTAATGGATTGCTGTGGAATGACCAAATATTAATAAAGCCTGGGTGGCTGACAACTTCCTACACCCTGCACCATGCTGGAATAATGGCATTTGTCTCTGTGCTCAGTTCCCTGTCATTTATTTGGGATGCTAAACCATTAGGACACAGATAACCACCTTGATTGGATTTGTTTTAAATAGCAGCCATCCCCATTAACCTAGAGGGCTTCTCCAGGCTGAGGCAAAGGCTCCCTCTGCAGCCCATCAGTTTTGGGGCCAGTTTCACTCCCACAATCGGATGGACACCAGGCTGAGAGTCCTCCAGATGCAGTGGATGCTCACAGAGATTTTCAAACACATGTAAACGTCACCACCATTGACACAGCACATCTTTGGGCATCGAGGCAAAGTGGGCATGGATAAAACATTTGACATTTCTGGAGATTCACCTGTTCCCAGTTCATGTGGTGGCAGCTGCAGGGAAGACAAGTTCCATCCCCATCAACCACCTAAATCTGTCTGTGCTTGTGTTTCCCCGATGGTGAAGCTTTCCCAGGTGATGGATCATATTTGTCACAGCCCAGGATGAATTTACCTGGAGCAGCCATGGAGACAGAGTGGGAATGCTGAGCAGGCACAGCAAAGGAAGCACAGCAACCCTGGCACTGGCATTTCCTCTACTCTCAAAATCATTCTTTTAGCTCACATGGGTTTAAAAGTGAAGTTTTCCCATCAGGAGGTGCAAATAAGGGTGGGTGAGTCTTGTTCCAAAGAGAGATGTTAATTCTGCTGGGCTCTCAGCTCAGGTTATACAGAATTGAACTCAATAGGACTCATGCCATAGGAAGGAAACAATTAATTCATGTTATCAATTATTTATGGTGAATAAAAAAGGAGGAATCATTCCATTACCTTTATGGCAGATTTAAATGAAAGCAATAATAGTGCCTTATGACTTTTTACAGGTTCCCAAACTGTCCATGAGAATGCTCCTCTGGTGAAATCCCTGCTGCTGACAGGACCTGCTGGTGTTGGAAAGAAAATGTTGGTCCATGCCATCTGCACAGAAACAGGATCCAACCTCTTCAGCCTCACTCCTTCCAACACTGGGAAGTATCCAGGCAGGGAGGGCCTCATAATGATGCTTCACATGATTCTCAAGGTGGGGAGTTCTCAAGGTGGTCCAGTTCTTTTGTGGGACAAAGAGGGAACTGTTGTTACTCCGTAACAAGGAACATGCACAGCTTGAGCAAAGCTGCTCAACCCAATTTGGAGTTCCTTCCCTGCCTTCAAGTGTTCTAAACATCAGGAGGAATTTCTTCATGGAAAGGGCTGCCCAGGGGGTGCTTGGACGTCCCAGGGGGTGTCCAAGGAGTGACAGGATGTGGCACTGAGTGCTCTGGGATGGCTGAAAGGTGGTGGGTGATAAGTCAAAGGTTGGACTTGAGCTTAGAGGTCTTTTCCAACCAAAATGGGTCTGTGATTCTGTGAAACCACTTGTTGACAGCCAGTGTGTGCAGCTCTGCAGAGGATTTAATGCCCCTGGAGAAATCACTGGGAGCAGCCACATTTTTCACATTAAGATTTATGGGAGCTTTGTGTTACCTTGAATATGAAAAGCAGCACAGATAAAGAAAATTCTGTTCTCTGTTTATGTGCACATCAGCCAGGAATGCTTGCCATGCAGCATTTAATCAAATGCTAGGCTTGGGGTGGTCAGAAATTTCCTCTCTGGGGCTGTTGCTGGACAAGAGCTCTCTCCCCTATATTGCTCTCTGTTTACCTATCAGCAAGTTCTTCAAAAGAAGGAATCCTGGTTCAGGATTACAGGAACAGAAATGTATGAGAAGTCTGGAAATGAAAGCAGGCATATGAACTGTGAAGAACATAGCCCAAACCCTCCTCAAAAAAAAAAAAGAAAAAATTAAAAATACACTATCCTGGCAAGATTTCTTCCAGATTCTAAGTCCTCAGCATTTCTGCTCTGGATGGGAGCTGGTAAAAATTTCCAGACCAAAAAAAAAAAAAAAGAGGGGGAAAAAGCCAAAGGGAATATTTTTCCAGTGTCAGTGGTCTACTAAAATTGGCTTTGCTGGGGATTTATCAGCTGTATTTTATGGAATCCAGGTTTTGTGACAGGTGCCTCCATTCACAGAACAGCCAGGAGCAAAGCCACCCCCGAGGAGGCCATGCCAAGGGAAGGGTGATGGTGCTGTGATCACACACCTGTGATGCTGTGGCACTGGCACTGGGCCTGCTACCCCCTGACAGGATTTAGAGCCATTATCCTGAGCTAACACTCCCTCTTCTCTGCATGTTTCACCTTTCTGCACTCCATTTCTCTGCCCTCATCCATGGCACAGCTCAGCTCTGCTGCAGGCCAGTCCCTGCCCTCACAGAGTCCCTGCTAGAGCACAAGGGCTTTGAGCAAAGGAGGAATGAGGGAAGCCTTTGTACTCCTGCACAAAGTTCCAGCTGAAGATAGCAAGGGGTTTTTTGTATACTTGCATATAAATAATATGAACAATAAGAGGAACATGCAAAAAATGTGTATTTGTACACATTAATAAGAATACACACACACATCGTGTATCTGTGTGCCTACACAGGTACATTCAAACCCTTACATTTTCCCACATTAATTAAAAATAACTGGAAACACTCTCCAACCCCTTCCTCAAAATCATAGGGAGCAATCCAAGCTTATTTCTCTCTACTTAACTCTTGCAAAGGACAGTGACACTTTAGTGAACCCCTGTGAGTAGTGGCTTGGAGTTGCTCACAGTCACATGGAATCAGGGCTGTCCAGGGCTGTTGTGTTTCCCCAATGGTGAAGCTTTCCCAGGTGATGGATCATATTTGTCACAGCCCAGGATGAATTTACCTGGAGCAGCCATGGAGACAGAGTGGGAATGCTGAGCAGTCACTGCTGCAGGCACAGCAAAGGAGGCACAGCATCCCTGGCACCCTTGCTCACCAAAAGGTGACTTGTTCCAACTGCAGCACTGCTGCAAACCCTGCTGCTTCAACAGCACAGCCAATGGCACAGCACAGGGTTTCTCTTTCCTGGGTGTTCAATCCTTCGCTGGGAGGGTGGGCAGGCCCTGGCACAGGGTGCCCAGTGTAGTTGTGGGTGCCCCTGGACCCCTGGAATTGTTCCAGGCCAGGGTGGACAGGTCTTGGAGCAGCCTGGTACAGTGGAAGGTGTCCCTGCCCATGGCAGGGGTGGCACTGGATGGGCTTTGAGGTCCCTCCAACCCAAGCCAGTCTATGACTCTGTGACCCCACACTGGCCTGTCCTAGCAGCATTCAAATCCACTGTGTTGCATTTGCATTCCCAGTTCCTTGGTGGTTTCAGCTCTCCCATCACCTTCTGTCCCCATGGCTGATCACCAGCACATCCCCACCTGCTGAGGATTTCAGCTCAGGGCCTGTAGGTTCTCAGAGCCAGGCTGGAAACAATCCTGCTCCCACACAGGCTCTCACCTCTGCAGTTAAATTCCACCTCTTTATTCCTGACAATGCCAAATGTGCCTCATTCCCCCTCTCTCTGCTCCAGTCCAGCAGCAGTAACTCAGCCAAATACCTGCCTGTACCAGCAAGAATATAGCAAACACCTTAAAATGGTTAATTATTCCCTGTTATTGGGCATTTGTGAGACCAAAACTGGACATTGTGTCCAGTATTGGGCTGCCCTGTTAAAACAGGCTTGGCAAACAGCTCTAGAGGAGAGCTGTGGAGATAAGGGGCAGGAGTGTGAGACACATCTGGACAAATCCAGCTGTTTGGGGCTAAAATAAAGCTGGAGCGAGTGGGAGTTTAGCTGCTGTTTTCATGGGATAACACAGAGAACAGAGTCAGACTTTGCCCAGAGGTGCACAGAGATGGGACAAAAAGAAATGGGCACAAGTAGCAACAAAGAAAATTGTTTGTGTATTAAGGAGAAAGTTTAATGAGGAACCAAAGGACAAGGAATCTCCTATATCCTGCAGGAATCACTGCTACCCAAGCTGAAGAAAACAACACACATTCCAAATAAATTCCTTGACAAGAGAAAGCTAAACAGTGGTAACTGCCCTCCCCTTTTGTACCACCATGGTACAAAAAATCAGGTTATTTGGATTACTGTAAGACTACACTGGGCAGTGGCACGTGTGGCAGACAAACCATGGAAATAGTTGGTAGCTTGCAGCTGACATTTTATAGTTAATATTCCCAGCTCTCAGTCTTACCTGACCCAGCACAGTACCCCCCCATCTGAGGGCCCGTGTGCAGAGATCACCGAAAATGCCCCAAATCTCCATAATCAGACACTTCTGGGCAGCTTTTTTGGAAACAGCAACTGTTGTCAAGGCAGCTTTGTACTGCAGCTCCCCAGAAGTGCCTTTATGGAGAGTTAGTCAAGCAAAATACAGACCTGCCACTGCAAGTTGTGGGTGAATGACAGGAAACATGACAGCTCTTTGCCTCTTATCTTCTGATCCACACAACCGCTGTTAAACACCGGGATTTAGTAAATAAGGATTCATGGTGCTCTGTGATAAAGGTGAAGTCACCTCACACTTTTGATTACCTGTCCTATGTGCAAACAAAAGGGTTTCTGTAAAGAAAGCAAGCTCTGGAGAGCATAAAATGACCATTAGGAAACTTTCCTTCCATAACTGAAGTGTTGGCTGCTGGCACTTGTTTCGTGGGAGACGCCCTAAACAAGTGAATAGGAGTGGGGAAAAAATGAAACTTTAATTTGTTTCAGATGCAAAAGCCAAATTCTTTTTTTTCCCCCTCCCCTTTTCAGGGAGGGGACTCACAGGAGACGCAGCAGCCCTGATCCAAGAGAGGCTTGAGTGTTACTCCAGGCAGGCATTTTAATGTCATTCAGAGGAAATGACTTCTCATACCAGAGCAGGAAAACACCAACATTTCAATCTGCCTATTCAGAGGAAATGTAAGGGAGATGGATATTGAATAGGAAAACTATTGAAAGAGGCTGCAAACACCAGCTTGAGCACTTGTGTTCTCCATTGAGCAAATCCTGCCAGGTCAGCTCTGCTTCACAGCAGAAAGGGGAGGATCTGTCTCCAGCAGAGAAATGCCCCCCCCAAAAAACAGAACTCACCCTTGAAGCGTGAACCAGAATATTCCACATTGAAATATTATTTGTTTCAACAAAACATTGAAATATTATTTATTTCAATGTAATATCATGCAACAATTTAATGAAATATTGTTTCTTTAATAATTCAATATTAAATATTATTTATTTCAATGTAACATTATATAACAATTTATTGAAATATTATTTGTTTAATATTTCAATATTAATTGAAGTATTCCACACTGGACTATTTCAATTAAGCCCCATTTCCCAGCCTGAGCTGCCAGCTTGTGCCAATTGGCTTTCCTACGTCCCCATAAAATACAGGAAAGATGCAAGGAAGGAGGCATGGAAGCAAAATCAGATCCAGAAAGGAGCGAGGGGAGAGGGGAGAATGCACAACTCAGTGACACAAAAGCCCAGGTAGTTCAGAGGTTTAGCTGCAGGGCAATAAAAATGACAAGCACGAAGCAGCCAGGGGGTTAATCACTAGCAGAGGGACACAGCCCCTGCCAGGGGTTCATCCCCTCTCTGGGGCCACAGAGCACACAGAAAGCACATTGTGCCCCAAGCCACACGTGGGGAAACCTTATTACAGCAGCTCTGGCCAGGCTAAAAGGTTGGGGGAGAGGTGGCCAGGAGGAAATGCCAGCAGGGAAGCTGTGTGTGTGTGTGTCAGCAGCTTGGTGTGTGCTGTGCAGGCCCACAGAAAGAAATACTGTCCAGAAATATTTCAACACTGTCAGTGCTCAGGGACTCTTATCAGCCTCTTCGGGTCTGCTCTTTAGCAACTCAGAGGTGACTGTTCAAGTGTTACACCCAAAAAAGGGATATGATGGAGTTTATTTAGATTAAATGATACAACCCCAGCATTTAGGGGCAACAGAATTTTGAAGTCTGCCAATAATTTAATTTTTTCCCACTGATTCATGTTCATTAGCACTGCTGTATTGTCCCTTCAGCCAGACCATTGTTCTGGCAAGTTGAGGAGCTTGTCCTGGTATACTGACAGAATTCTCTGTGTGTTTAGCATTTCCATGCCACAAGACTCTCTCACCACAGCTAAAATTTGGGAACAGTACAGTGAGTCTTTCTTCCAGCATCCAAAACAATTCTGCTCTTGGTGCAGCTCAGCCTGCTGGAATTCTTAGATCCTTGAAGTGTTAAGTATCAACAGTGCTCAAATATGCAGTTATTTCTGTGATAAAGCAGCTTGAACTTGTGTTACCCTAAGGTTAAAAATTAAATTTATCCTGTAGCAAGTCATTTTCTGCCTCACAAACCAGAACACAGTGGCATCATCACTGCAGCACAGAAATATTTACCTGGTGATGCTCCCACTGAAAAGGTCTAATCACAGGTTTCAGTGCAGCATTTCTGGGTGTATGAACTACAGAGCAATACGATTTTCAGCAATAACTTGAGCTTCCAAAAAATCTTGGGCCTTTAAAAAAAAAAAAAATCCATCAAATCATTCAAGTTTGGAGGAGCCTTGTGCAACATGTGCTGGGCAAGAATCAAATTCCTGCATTTTCAAGTGCAACCATTTAGCTGTTAAACTCTGGCTCCCAGGTTTGAAAAGTTGAACCCAAGGCTTTCAGAAGTGCTATTTGATCTTTGATGACTCTTGACAGCAGGATGAGAGGGATTTTTGGGGTTTTTTTTTTTTCCATAATGATTTTCCCAATCTCACTCAGTGTGGTATTAGAAGGGTTAAGGGGCCATCTGCTGGCAGCTCCAACAAATTGTGGAATTGCAGCAAAGCTAATAAAATTTCAATTACAAATTAATTATGTACAGTGCATTTAATTATCCATGGATTCAAACTGTCCATGGATAATTCAAATGGAGCACTTTCACAGGGGGATATACAGGCAGCTACAGATCTGCCAACAATTTAAATTAGATGCCAGTGGATTCTGGGTGTCTCATCTGGATTTCCAAGAGGAAACAGCCAGGCTCAAACACAGTGTGTGCAATTGGGTTATATGAATGTCTATTAACACCTGAAAAATCATGGAATGGTTTGGGCTGGAAGGGATTTAAAGCTCATCCAGGTCCACCCCTGCCATGGCAGGGACACCTCCCACTATCCCAGGTTGCTCCAAGTCCCATTGTCCAACCTGGCCTTGGACACTGCCAGGGGTGGAACATCCACAGCTTCTCTGGGCAACAAACACATGCAGGCCATTTTCTACATTTAGCTCTTTGCCTCAAAGCAGAAAACACAGGAAATTCTCTCTTTAGGAGACAAAACTGAGGTTATTAATTGTATTTCCACTTAGTGGGGAAACAAAGGGGGCAAAGAGGATGAAAGGTGTGAGCTCACAACAGTGAGCATTCTCCTGTAAAAATGAAGTTATAATTGGATTTCAGACCTATGCTGAATTTCAGGGGGGCTGCTCACCACAGAAACCATCTCCAAGCCAAACAAGGAATATCTGCACCTCCCAGCCTGTGGTGACCCCACCAAAAGGACAAAGAGAGACACCAGCAGTGTCCAACTTCTGCCAACAGCTTTTGTAGCCTCTGTAACCTTCCCCCACCCTTATATCCCAGTGCAGCATCAGGCACTGAACAGGCTCCCAGGGATGTGATATCTTTTCTAATAAGTTGGTTTTAGTTTGTTTTCATCTTCACTATTAACACTAAATATTTGAGTTCCTGCCACCCACCAAAGCAAAAAGCTCAGGAAGGACATTGACCTATTGGAGTGAGCCCAGTGGAGGCCTCCAATCTGATGAGAGGGATGGAGCACCTCTCCTACAAGGAAAGGCTGAGACAACTGGGATTGTCTAGCCTAGGAAAGAGAAGGCTTTGGGGTCACCTTGGAGCCCCTCCTGATGCCTTGTGAAGGCTGACCTAGAACAGAGACTAGGCAGAGGTAAAGAATAAAGCAGAGATTCATTAAAAGGCCTCAATGGATCCACCTTGGGCAGCACAAGAGCCCAGCCAGGGCTGCACCCAAGATGAACCAAAATGGTCACAAAAATGGTCATGAAGTCACAGGGTCTCTTACTTTGATCAGTTCTGGTCCATTTGCATATTGGGGTTCATTGTCGAATTCCATCTTTAGCCCATCAAATTCCATCCTTCTTATTTTTCTCTCTTCATTCCACCATTGTTTGTGCTCCTGGGCCTGAGATTTGGATCATTTGTCCTTGGTCCCCAGCTAGAGAAGGAATTGTTTTGTCTCCCTACTCTGTGCAGAGAGCTCACCATCTCCTAATATGAAGCTCAGAACTGCACACTAGAGCAGTACAGAATGTGAAAAATAGAAAAGCTAAACCTGAGGCATCACTTGCAGTGCCTGAATGCACTACAAGAAATATGGAGAAAGGCTATTTACAAGGGTCTGCAGGGACAGGACAAGGGGAAATGGGTTTAAACTGACAGAGAGTAGGTTTAGATGCGATATTGGGAAGGAATTCCTCCCTGTGAGGGTGGGCAGGCCCTGGCACAGGGTGCCCAGAGCAGCTGAGGCTGCCCCTGGATCCCTGGCAGTGCCCCAGGCCAGGCTGGATGGGGCTTGGAGCAGCCTGGAATAGTGGAAGGTGTCCCTGCCCATGGCAGGGGGGGAATGGGATGACCTTTAAGCCCCCTTCCAGTCCCAACCATTCCAGGATTCTACAATCCAGCTGTTCTGGACTTGGAGGTATCACTTGGCATATTCTAGGACTGACCAGTTGCCACCCATGAAAGTGTCACATGCTGAAGGTGGCATTGCTTCCACTTCACCCCATCAGCAGCACAGCAAACAGAGTGAGCAGCCCTTGTTTTCTGTGCTCTTCCCCATCCCCAGCCCACTCCTCCTGCACACACACACTCACTCTTTGAAACACAGCCACAAAAATCAGCCGCAGTGCTGCGAGCAAGCGTGCTCACTGCTTAATTCTTCCTGCCTGGCTGTCAATCAGCCAGGAGCCTGTGATGTACACAACCCGTGGGTTTTGTAAGCTGCCTTCCTGGAAGCAGCAGCTTCAGCCAGGGGGAATTAAAGGAAAAAAATAAAATAAGAAAAAGGCAGGATAGAAGGAAGCTCTGCCTCTCTCTCTCTCTCTCTCGTTACCACTGACTCCTCGAGCCGTCACTTTTTGTTGCTGAGCAAACTCTGAGAGCCACTGGAAAGTGATTAAAATTTGGCAGCAGAGTGTCTAAACCTCTGGAATGGCTCAACCTCTGGCGTTTCTATAGCAATGGGGAAGAGTGCAGGATGTGGAAAAAGCCTGTAGCATTGCTGCCATCCTGCTGTGAACCAGGGGTATCGTGCCTCCAACTTTGGAGCAGGAAAACCTAGTTTTGGACAATGCCCCCCCCCCCCCCTTTCAAATTTAATTCTTGTGCTCACTGCAAATTAAATGCTGGAGTTTCAGCCAGAAGATTGACAAACTGTTCTGCTTAATGATGAGTGCCCTCCCTCTCATGCAACAGCCATGGCTTGCCTGTCTCTCCATCCAGAAAAGCAGGGTGGGATCCCAGCCTCAGCCTAAAGCTGCCCTTGGACCATGATTTTCCATTGAACACAAAATCCAGGTTCCTTTTGCAGGAGCACAACTGAATGAGTGCTGACAAATTAAAGATAAGCATAGCAGACAAAATGATCCAGTCCGGGGTGGGCTCTTAATGCTCCATTCCTAACTAGAAAGGGTTGGATTTGCCAAGGCTGTTCAGCAATCCATGATTGCTGAACATTCCCAGGGATAAAAAATAAGCCAGGCTAATTGAGCTGCTGAAATCTGGATTCAAAAGCACACGGACAGGCTCCCAGGTATGAAATTGCAGCTGTTTTAATCAACTCCTTGCCTTTTCTCCCCCATTTTCTCCTAGGTGGGCAAGGAATTGCAGCCTTCAGTCGTGTGGATTGGAGACACAGAGAGAATATATTCCAAAGGGGCACCAAATGGAGAACAAGAGGTGAATTCTTCTTTATTTCAGTGCAGATAATTTCTCCTGTTGCACTACAGCCCACACAAAGCACATACCACTATGACCAGACCTGCCAAAGCTTGCTTGATAATAGCTTGTCTCACTAACTTTTTTTTTTTTTTAGCTTTTAAGACAGTCTTGTGACTTCTTAAGAGCCCCCAAGAGGTCACACTTCTCTCTTCCACCTATCCTTGCTTTATTTAAAAATAGTCCAGTCACTGCTCATCAGTGCACTGGAAAGTAAAAGGGAATAATGGAGAATTTCAAAATATGAAGCAAGAAGCTAAAAGTTGAGATGAGCTCAAATTGTTCAGCTCTATTAATTTGAGAAATTGGATGGAGCCAAAGTGAACAACAAAGTAACAAGGATAGATTTCCACTGCAAAAACAACGAGCCTGTATTAATTAGATAAAATTAAAGATTATTTTCTTTGGTCTCCCAGGAGTCCTAATGCCACTGCTTCCATTCCTTCCTCTCCTGTGTGGCTTCCCCATTGGAAAGAAAAGTAAAATACTGCCCCATATGTACAGCAACACCACAGCAGGGAGAAATTTGCCCCAGTTCCTGTTGCCTGCAAAATGTTTTTATTTTAGAGCTTTATGTGAAAAATTAAACCTTTTTTTTCTTAGAGTGTCTGTGGGGTGGTCACAAGAATGTATTTTGGAAAGGCAACACAAGACAACCCAACCTTGCCTGGGGCTGTTCCTTCTGCCAGGGCGGGGTGAGGTGATGGGTGTGCAGTGATCCCTAGAGGTGATGTCTCAGGGTTTAGCTTTTCTGTTTTTCACATTCTGTGCTGCTCTAGTGTGCAGTTCTGAGCTTCATATGAGGGGATGGTGAGCTCTCTGCACAGAGCAGGGAGACAAAACAATTCCTTCTCTAGCTGGGGACCAAGGACAAATGATCCAAATCTCAGGCCCAGGAGCACAAACAATGTGAAGAGAGAAAAACAAGAAGGATGGGACTTGATGGGCTAAAGCTGGAATTGGACAATGAACTCCAATATGCAAATGGACCAGAACTGATCAAAGTGAGAGACCCTGTGACCTCACGACCATTTTTGTGACCATTTTGGTTCATCTTGGGTGCAGCCCTGGCTGGGCTCTTGTGCTGCCCAAGGTGGATCCATTGAGGCCTTTCAATAAATCTCTGCTTTATTCTTTACCTCTGCCTAGTCTCTGTTCTAGGTCAGCCTTCACAGGGCATCACTGCAACCCTTAGTGGTCCCAACAGTGAGAGTGAACCTTTCTCTTGGGTTCAAAACCTGGCAGATGGGGATGAAAATTAAGATTAGGGGCCCAAAATGGCCTGGATTGCTTGTGATCCTTGCTTGCTTTGCCATTAGTGTGAAAAGTTTTCCTGTCCTGCCCACTTCAGAGTCCAGGGTATCCCCTCTGGCCCTTGTGCCCATCCCAAGACCTGCCCTTGTTGGGAGTCTGTTGGCTTCAGGCTCGGAATCCCACATATCCCAAACTGTTCACAGCACATCCAACACTTAGAGGCGAGAGCATGAACCTGGAAGAACAGGCAGAGGTGCTTTGGGAGTGTTGGAATTTTGGAGAATCATGGAATGGTTTGGGTCGAATGGGGCCTTAGAGATCACCTTGTTCCACCTCCTGCAGGGCAGGGACATCTTCCACTAGACCAGGCTACTCCCAGCCCCATCCTGAAAGATGAGCTAAGCTCAGCCTTCAGAAGCCAAGGCAAGTATCAGTCACTGTGCTCATCCCAGGGTGACAGAAATGCATAGCATGACCATGAGAAAAAGAGGAATGATCCACCAGATGTATTGTATTAAGACAGGCTTACTTAGGAAAAAAAATAAATGTGCTACTCTACCCCAAAACTTGTGGGAAAGCTTATTGATTAACAGTAATGACACCACAACATTCTGATTAGGCTTCTCCAGCCAATATTCACTTGAACATTATCAAATATAAATAATATTTATATTTGATATAAAATGTTCTCCAATAAAAAGTTCTGCTCAATACTCATCTGTTCTGTAAGTAGCAGTTAAATGTGTTACAAAGTCAAGTAGTGAATTGTTGCAAAGAAATGAACCCTGAGCTCCAAGAACCTTTGTTCTCAGAGCCCCAGCAAGTTAGAAAGCACAGCAAAAAATAGGGAGTGTATTTTGCACCCTTAGAAGTCAGAAAATCATAACCTCCAAGAGCTGGGAGGATTCCAAACTAGGTTACAATTTGCTACCTGTCGAGGTTCATCAGGTGTGCAGGTCCCTGCAATATTTCTCCTTGAGCTGGAAATAAGGATTTCATTCTTTAAATTAATTGTTTCCTGCCTGCCTTTGAGTAACTAGACCATAAATTCAGTAGTGAAAGGCACTAAAAACAAAACCAGAAGCAGGAACTGAGTGTTTACCTGAATTTGAGGAGGCAGAATCTTCCTACTTATGTTGATATCTCACCAGCTCATACCAAACACAACCAGAGTACTAAAAAACCCCAAAATCCTGTTGCAGGCAGCAGGTACAGCTCCAGCTCATTAACTCTGAGCTGTCAGCATCGTTAACAACTCTTTCCTTCTCCTGTTTCCACGTGCTGCAGGTGAACTTCAAACGCCTGGCAAAGCTCCTGCCCCAGTTCCTGAGGGCTCTGAAACCCAAGGACAGAGTTCTGCTCGTGGGCACCTCCCGCAGGCCCTTTGATGCCAACCTGGGACCTTTCTGCAAAGTTTACCAGAAAATCATTCTCATCCCCAAGCCTGACTACCTGACAAGATTTGGCAAGTATTTCTGTCAATCTCGGCGTTAATCCTACTGTTTAAAATTCCTGCTTGTTGCTGCTTATCCTCAGAACTGCCCTTCAGCTCAAGTCAGGCCCCTGGTGTGTCTCAAGTCCCGAAAATGTAGGTTAAATCAGACTACTCCAAAGGCCAAATAATAAAAGTGGAAGCTGGGAGAAGAGTTTAAAATACTCTTCACCACCAATTGACATTTTTCTATCAGTTCAGTATGCACCAAACTCAGCTGGTTTTCCCTCCCCCTATTTCAGCACACTTTTTTTTTTTTTTTTTTTAAACACATTGGTTCTGAATTTCTGGTTCCAGTTTGCAGTTTTGAATTTCTGGTCTCCATACTCTAAACAACACAACTTCTCAGCCTCTCCAAAACCAAACCCTGTCAGGAGGACTAAATTTTCTCTCTCACAAATTCCACTTTTTGTGCTTACAGATCACAAGAGAAATTGTACAGGCATCCCTGATTTTGCATGTCTGGTCTATCAAATGCAAATTCTGACAAAATCATTGAATATTCCGTGTATTGAGACTCAAAGCTTTCAAGGAAAGCAGGGTTCTTTTCTAATAAAACAAACCTCCAATGTTTTGAGGTTTTAAACACCCTGAAATCTGCAATAAACAGCAATAAAAGAAAACCCATTTGGCTCAGGGACCTCGCCACACAAGCACTCTTTGCTCTGTCCAGTGTCACCTTGTTACAAAGCTCTGACAAACACATTGTGTAGTCCAGTTTCATCCTGCATCCCTCAGGGGCAGCCCAGGTGCCCAGGTGACACACATCTGGGTGAGCCCAGGACAGAGTTTGTTTGCCTAGCACATTGCAAACCTCTCCCAAGTTCCATAATTTTCTTTCTGTGGATGGGAGATGGTCAGCAAGCAAGGGAACATGTGTTTCATGTTAGGTTACAGCTCTGAGGAGTTGCTGAGAGATAAGGAGACACGAGCAAAACCTAGAGAAAGGAGGTGACAGCAGCTGAATTTAGCTGTGCTCACTTCTGGGGGTTGAACTGTCACATTCTGGGACTCTCACCACTAATTTGGAGTCCAAAAAATTGGCCAGCTCAAGGGATTTCAACTGCACACTTCAGAATACCCAAAAAAGTTAATTCATGGCATTTTAAAGCAGAATGAATGTGTAGTTTTAATTCTTTGATTTTGCCCCAATTCAGAGAGTGCATGTCTTGTTTTTCAGCCCCAACCTTCCCTGAAGTTCTGTAGAAATAGGATCTTCAGCTCCCAATCCTGTCAGTTTTCAGTGCCTGACATCCCCTTTGAGAAGGAAAGAAACTTGTTTTGACAGAAAAATAATGACATAACAAATACTTGTAAGCCACAGTGCACAGCTACCTGTCTGCTGCAGCCCTCCCTCTGGTTACAGACCAGAGTATTCCAATCTGTGCTCAGTGGGAGCAGTAAATATACAATGGAAATCATTAAACTGGAAGATTCACAATCCCATACTGATTTCTTGCCATTAATCACCAAGCAAGGCAGTGCCTTGTGTTACACAACTGCAGCAGGAGCCCCAGCACACAATATCTGCCTGTGTGCATCAATTCCTCTTTTATGAATTAGTGATTCAGCCAATATTTATTGAGCACAAGCACGATTCAAGTGGGAGACCACAATTGCTGGAGTGAGAAATGCAGTGCAGAGCTGTCAATAGTTATGGGCTCCAGTCCGTGGTATTGATGTCCAAGGGAGAAGAAGGCAGCTTTTCCAGCAGCACCAACCTCCACCCAACATCTTCATGCTACATCTGAGCATTCAAGCACAGCAGACTCAAAATGTCTCATTCAGGAAACTTTTTAACCTCTTATCCATAATCCTTCTAATCTTTTCCAAATACTTCTGTATAATGCTTTAAAGCAAAGCCTGAGGAGGCGACATCAAAGTTCTCCTAAATTTCTCTGAAACAGAGCCTTACTTAACATAAAACAAACCAAAAGATTGGTATTATTGCTATTCTTTGGGAGCAAACTCTCAGCCACTTCACGACCCCAAAGAAATCAATCAGGTCACAGAAGTTCACAGCTAAAAGATACAACTAAGTTCACCTTTCAGGTAACCAGAAAACCCCAATCACAGAAAATTTGCACCTTGCAACACGTGCCTGATAGCTGGAAGCCTTTGGGACATGGAGCCCCCCAGCAGCCCTCAGCTCAGCAGGAATAAGCTGTGATGAGGATCAGAGAAATAAAACCAGGCTGGTGGTAAAGGTATCAACTCTGCACATCCAAATGGGAGCACTGGACAGGTCTGTGTGTACACACAAGTGGTTCTTTCCATTCTTACACACATACCCACCCCACTCTAATGACTTGCTGAGAAGTACTGACTGGTGGCCAAAAATTATCAGTAAGGGTTTAAAAGCACACACACCTAAAGGCCCCTGTGCTGCAAATCTGAAGAGGAAAGACACACACCAAAAAAAAAAAAAAAAAAATCTGAATTTTGGCTTTCCTGATCGATAGTCCTTATTTTCTTGTTCCAGCATCAAAATAAATAATAATAAAATTTCTTTCTCCTGCTTTCCTTGAATTGCTGTCTTTACATTGTCTCTTTTGCATGTCCTGATGCTCAGCACTGTGGAAGCACTACATCCTGCAGCGAGGTGGGGCCCTCACCAAGCTGCTGAACCTCAACTGCCTGGCCCAGGTGTCGGATGGCTTCACGCAGGGACACGTTGTGGACGTGGTGCACACTGTGCTGACTGAGCTGAGGCTGCTGCAGATGGCCAGGAAGCCACTGAGGACTGCTGAGTTTGTCACTTCTCTGGCCAGGCACGACCCAGTGTACAAAGAGGAGGAGGAAACCTTCCAGGTGAATTCTGTTTCCTGTCTTCGGTCATTCCCTGCCATGTCCAGCCACACTTGATGAAGGGACCTGCTCACTGTGCTGGTGGGTTGGCACCTCACTATTTGAATGGTGATTTAGGGTTCAACAGCACCAAAACCCATCTCCCCCAACCTCGGATGTGCCAAACCAGTCCTTATTTTGGCAACACATCTGGCAGAGTGCTTTGGTGAACCTGCTGCTGCTCAAGTTGAGCAGAGTAGCCTCCACTTGCATGGATAAAACACACAGGGGCCATCAATTCCACACATTTGTCCTTTTCCTTCCAGAGCTGAGGTGTTCAGCAAGCCTGGAAACATCACCTTGCAAAGGCACAACACCTGGCCATTCAATGTCCAAAATCTAAGCCCTTCTCTCAAATAATTTCAAAAATAATTTATTTTAAATTTTCCTTCCAGCCTTTAAAATAAATGAGTTTCTGCCTCAAGCTCCATCCCTCAGGGCTATAAAATCCTGAGGGCAAAACTGAGAGAGTTTGAGGTGTATTTTATTCATGGGCACAGGGTGCTCAGAAAAGCTGTTACTGCTCCCTGGCAGTGCCCAAGGCCAGGCTGGACAGGGCTTGGAGCAACCTGGGACAGTGGAAAGTGTCCCTGCCCATGGCAGGGGGTGGAATGGGTTGAGCTTTAAGGTCCCTCCCAGCCCAAACCACTCTGGGATTCTGTGATTCTACACATGCCTCAAAAACCCATGGATCAGCTTCCAGCCTGATAAATGCTACAAAGTCCTTGGGCCTTGGGCAGAGCCCTGCTGTGCCCCAGGGAGCTGCAGGCAGCCCACACCAGGGGCTCCCAATGAGGTAAGACCTCTGGACTGCTCCAGCAGACCTCAAAAGAGCATCCTCCATCCCACAGCCCTGATAATTCCTACTGCTTATAACCCCTCCACCTTTCCTGGCTGGAAGGTTTCCTTGTTGTCCTGCTCCTCGACCCCCCAGCACCTCCCAACACAAACAGGATGCTGATTCTTACAGTGTTCTCCAAGGCTTCTCCCACTGCTGACCTTATGATAGTGCATATTCCTCCCAGCCCTGCTGAGCACTTCCCAGTTTCCATTTAGAGCCATTTGGCTCACTCAACACAGGCAGCATTTGTGATATTTGGCAAATTACTCTTTTTTTTTCCCTCATGCTAAACCAATATCTCTCCTCAGGGAAAGGCTAATGGTTCAGTGTTAGAGCAAAGGGAAAAAAAAATACTCCATCATTCCCAGCTCCTAGTCCTCCATTTCTACCCTGAAACATGAGCGCAAGTATTTAGTGTGAGTTTAACTTGAAAATATTATCCCAGTCACTATAAAATGGGCCTGTTTTGTACAGCACAAAGTGCCCAGGCAGCCCTTCATTTGGAACACAGCTCAAATGATCCTGTACCCAGCATCCCATGGCAATCATCTCCTTGCATTAATTACAGCCCTTAAGAAAGTATTTCCTTTTATCTGTTGGAATTTTGTTTCCCTTAAATGTCACGGAGCCTTGCTGCAGCACCTGTGATATGGCACAGGGGAGGAGGATTGTCAAAATAGCCCTGTGCATTAATTAACTCCAGTAATCCCCATCTCTCCTCACACAGAAGCCCCTCTTCCCAAGCTTCCAATCACTGCCAATTCTGGACCTTTCCCCTTGCTTTGCTGTGTCCCTTGTGGAAGTGGGGCAGCTGAAACACTGTGTTCCAAGTGAAGATTAGCCCTGTGATGAATCTTGGATTTTTCTTCCCTGAAAGCATGAATCTCCCAGTCTGACATTTATATTCTGCCAGTGTTCCAAAATGAATATAAATAATGCAAAATTTGGTGACAATGTGATTTCTGCCTTCCATTTACTCAAATTTCTGCCCCCATTACACATCCACATTTTTTGAAATTATAAATTAGTGCGCCAGGTTGGTTGATACAAATCCTTACACAGAAGGGATTTCTGGAGAGGCAAAGCCAGCTCACCACACCAGTTCTGCCTGGTAGTAACTGGACCAAAATCATGGAATGGTTTGGGTTGGAAGGGACCTTAAATTTCACCTTGTTCCACCACATTCCATGGGCAGGGACACCTTCCACTGGACCAGGTTGCTGCAAACCCCATCCAGCCTGGCCTTGAGCACTTTCAGGGATGTGGCAGCCACAGAAATACCAAAGAAAACCCATTCCGAAGCCTGTGAACATCACTCCTCCAAAAGCCAAATATTTTAACACTGATCAGTCACTGCTGCCAGTAACTTCCATCCCCAGTTCAGATGCTGGTGATAAATGGACTTTTATTTTAGCTGTGTCTGAGGAGCTGACTTCATGGAACAGCTACACCAGTTAAAGAGACGAAAAGTTACTGTTGTGCACTGAAATATTTGCACAAAGAACTGGGAAGAGAACAAAAAGAGACGTCCCAGGTCTCTTGGCTTCTCCTGCCAAATGCCTCAAGTCCTTTGCCAGTGACCCAGAGCTGGCAGGGAGATGATCAAACAGCTCTTTCCACCCCACCAAGCTCCCAGAAAGCTCTTGGCAAGGTTTTCCTACTCTCTCCACCTCCCACATAAGGTCTGGAGGGTGTTACACCCAGGACACAAAACTGAGAGGGAAATAAAATCTCTGTGGCCTCATGGAGTCTCATCCAGGCAGAGACATCACTGGGTTCTCCTGGCTTCCCTCAGCTACTGCCAGGGAAAGGCCATTCCTGCTGGAGCCCAACTCACAATCCCCACCTCATCCGTCTAACAGGAAGGGCCAGAAACAGCAACACATCCCAGCTCTGTGGTTCTCCCAAAACCAAGAATAGTTTGGCCTGGGACTAAGGCAGCAAAATCCAACTTCACTGAGAGCGAAAATTTCAACTTCACTGGGGTTCCTGCCCACCACCATCCATGCCCTGCCTCAACGTGGGCACACAGGAGGCTGGAGGATGTTTTTATCAGGGTTTTTGGAGGAGAGGAGCTCAGCTAATTCAGATAATTAAAGCAGAACTGCAGTGTCCAGCAGGCAGCTGGACGCTTGACCCCATCTTGAAAAATGACACCAAGAAGGACCATCTGGGGTCAGGAGAGGAACATGTTGAGTTTTCCTTCCCTGTACCCTTCCAGTACCTCTTGTCCCAGCTTCTCTTCCTGTAACACACACTGGGCAAGTGGACAGGGCAAATTCTTCAGGGATGCTTTAATTCTTCAGGGATGCTTTAATTCTTCAGGCTCAAGCTGGGAGCAGGATTCGGGGTGGAGCAGATGGAAAAGGCAGACTTCACAGGATGCCACACTGAGAGGGAGGTTGGAGATGACCTGGGCAGAGATGTGGCATTAAACAGCAGCCCGTGGTCAGGAAGGAGGGCATTTTATCATTGCCTGGCAGAATCTGAATCTCTGGTTTTGGCAGGACTTTGTTGAGTGAGGTTCTTGCACACCCAGGGAAAGAATAATTCCCTCCCAGTGCTGACTTCAAAGCCTCCCTTCTCCTTCACTTCCTATCGCTCACACGGCCTAGAGCTGCCTCCCTGACACCACAGCCCAGGAGCTGGGCAAGTCTGCAGAGCAGCTCCACCAGAATCATTTACAAGTCACAGGCCTGTGAGCAGGCATCTGAAAGCAATAAACAGGTTCTTAATGTTGGGGGTTTGTTTTGCTTCCTAAGCTCCCTCATGGAAATCAAAGCTGTCTGCATCGATTTGCAGAGGCACGAGAAGGGGATGATTTGTCTGTTGCCAAGTCTGGAGCAGAGGGAGCTCTGACAAGAGCTATATTCTCTGGAAATAGGGTTGATCATGGAATTTAACATTTCCATAACTATAGCAACACAAATGGCCCAGCTAAGTATTGCTGTTAATGAGACTCAGCTCGATCAATTGCTGCACTTCTTGGGATAATAATGTTCTCAAGAGATCTGAGGGTTTCATTTTGGCTTCTCCACCAGCCAGCCTGGATTTTAAGAGGTTTGGGTTTTTTAAGGAATGCTCTGTTATAGTAGTAAAATGTTTAAGTAGTCTGACTTGCCCTGTTTGGATTTTTTTTTAATTTTATTAAATGCTGTTTTGGTTCTCCAGGCCTGGTATGCCAAGACCCCGCTGGGGAAAGCGTGGAGCACAGCACAGGCAGAAAAGGAAGAAGAAAAAGAAAAGAAAGGAAAAGGGAAAGGGAAAAAGTAACTTCCTCAAGGATTTTTCACCCGGCCACACCAGTCACAACTCTATTTCTCTGTGAAGGCATAGCAGATTACTGATATAGGTATTCCAGGGAAGAGAATTCCTCTCTGAATGAATTTTTTAAAGTTATTAAAAAAAGAAAAAAAATCAGATGAGATGTAACATGTAGCTCTCAGAGGATAAAGAGTTAATGAGCACTGACTTGCTCAAGCATTATTTGTTCTAAGAGATTTTAGGGGGCAGAAGGGTTCATTACTCAGACCTGTAACATGCCATCAACTTTTAGGCCATACTCATTTATTTCAGCAAGTAACTCTCCTTAAAAATTGATGTCACTTTAATGTCTTTCATTACTTTAATATCCTATATGCTTTATAAAACTAACTGCTTTATATATCTGTGGGTCTACAGCGTTACAGTCCTCAATAAAACTATTACAGCTCCAAAGACTGCTTTTTAATTGGGATGGATTAGGAGGCACTTTGTGCAACCCACCACAAGCTGAATATTTACACAGCTGCAGGAGGAGCAGCACTTGCACCTGTTGAGGCCTTAGCACAGACAAATTCATATGTGTGGGTGTCAGCAGAAAAAAAGCCAAGCAGCCAGTTGGTAGTTTGGGTGGATGGCCACCAAAATCTGGTTTTAATCTATTTTGCCATAGAAAATGATGCCTAATTAGCTTGTTTGCATAAAGAGCAATGTGTTTGTTGTTTAATGCACCTTGTTTACTTACAAATCAGCAGTTTTGAGGGCAAAGGATTTATAAGGACACTCTAAAGCTTTGGGACACCCTACAGGACACTGATGGAGGCAGCACCACCTTCATGTCAGACACAGGATCACATTCACCAAGATCTTCTCTAAGTAAGAGCCACAAACACCTGTTTTTCCCTCTGATCACATAATTCCTGTGTGGACTTGACAGCAGGTACCTGGAAAGACACAGCCCACCATCCCCAGGGAGCTGAGGAACCTCTCTGTGCCTGCATCAACAGCCTGGGAGCTGCAAGCTGGGCAGCACTGCTGGAAAAAGCTGCTGGGAAGGGGATGGGATTGAGCCCCTCCTGCTCCTAAGAGGGAACCAAATGGGAAAAGGCATTCCTGGGAACAGGAATGCCTGAGAAAAATGGCCTGGGAGGATTCCTGGGTGTAACTAAATGCACAGAAACTTACGTGAGCAGTTGTGTCACTGTGCACAGTGGAGGGAACTGGATGGGTCTGGCTAACAAAGGGAATTTTCTCCCTGTATCCCAGGGTTTTCCCAGCACACAGGATTGAGCCACCCCAGTTTGGGATTTCTGTGGTCCCTCCTAGCTGTATTTTACAGTCTGGTGCAGGGCTCCCCATGATTTCACCCTTCATCAAGGCTGCACCTCCAGCCCTGCCAAGGAGATCCAAGCAATAACAGAGGGAATTCTTGCTCCATCTCCCCTGTGCAACCCCTCAGGACATTCCTGATGGACAGCAGCCCTTCCCCCAGCAACAATCCAGCTGCTGGAACCTCCACAAGCCCCACACTAGGGGCTGCTAGGCCCTGGCTTCAATCCATTGCAACATGCAGCTGCACACATCAGCTTCCCATCCCTTATTCTTGGAGCAGGTTGTGGGTGCCCAAACTCAGCAGCACATCCCAGTTTGATCAAATAAGGCACTTTTAACTTCATCCTTGGGGAGAAAAGCCAGGCTCTCCAAAGAGCTGACAGGGTTGGTGTTTAAAAACCCCTCATCTCTGCTCTCATGCACAAGGAAACTAATTTGGGTAATTCTGCCCTCAATCTTGCCGACAGCAGAGCCCTCCTCTGCACACCAGGGCTGACAGCAGGGCTGGGGTGATGGAAGGACCACATTTCAGGAGGATGTAAGCAAGCCCATTAACTCATATTTCAGCAGCCTCACTGCAATCTCAATAGCAAAGCAAAAGCAGCTGACTGGCAACATCCATCTCCAGGGCACAGCGCCCACGCCGTGCAGGGAGGATGCTGAGCTTCCACAGACCTGCAGGTTTCAACCAGTAGTCACCAGGTCATGGGGGAAAAAACAAAAAACAAACAAAACCAACCAAACAAAAATTTTTAAAAAATCCCCCCCCCCAAAAAAAAAAAAAAAAAAACCCAGAAAACCAACAACAACAACAAAAAAAATCTAAAAAAACCAACCCATCCAAAAATCCCAAACCCCCCAAAAAAACTGAAAAAAGCCCAAAAACTCCTCCCCCCAAAAAATCCCCAACCCCCCACAAAAAAACCAACCACCCCAAAAACTCTTCCCCAAAAAAAACCAAAAAACAAAACCCAAAAAAAAGCCCCAAAACTCCCCTGAAAAACCCAAAAAACACCCACCAAAAAGTAAAAAAAAAACCCAAAACCCCCAAAATACTCCCTCCAACCCCCCCCCCCCCCCCCCCCCCCCCCCCCCCCCCCCCCCCCCCCCCCCCCCCCCCCCCCCCCCCCCCCCCCCCCCCCCCCCCCCCCCCCCCCCCCCCCCCCCCCCCCCCCCCCCCCCCCCCCCCCCCCCCCCCCCCCCCCCCCCCCCCCCCCCCCCCCCCCCCCCCCCCCCCCCCCCCCCCCCCCCCCCCCCCCCCCCCCCCCCCCCCCCCCCCCCCCCCCCCCCCCCCCCCCCCCCCCCCCCCCCCCCCCCCCCCCCCCCCCCCCCCCCCCCCCCCCCCCCCCCCCCCCCCCCCCCCCCCCCCCCCCCCCCCCCCCCCCCCCCCCCCCCCCCCCCCCCCCCCCCCCCCCCCCCCCCCCCCCCCCCCCCCCCCCCCCCCCCCCCCCCCCCCCCCCCCCCCCCCCCCCCCCCCCCCCCCCCCCCCCCCCCCCCCCCCCCCCCCCCCCCCCCCCCCCCCCCCCCCCCCCCCCCCCCCCCCCCCCCCCCCCCCCCCCCCCCCCCCCCCCCCCCCCCCCCCAAAAAAAAAAAAACAAACCCAAAACAAATAAAGCCAAAAAATAAAAAAGGGAATTTCTCCTTTAGGCATAGCTTGCACTGATGGCTGCTTGCATTTCTTTCTTTCTGTGAGGATCTGGAAGCCCCAGCTGGTTTGACAAACAGCTCCAGGGGTGCAGGAGGTGACAAAGGGATGGTGAAGTGTCCCAGGCCAGGCTGGACAGGGCTGGGAACAACCTGGGACACTGGAAGCTGTCCCTGCCCATGGCAGAGGGTGGAACTGGATGAGATTTAGGGTCCCTTCCAGCCAAACCACCCCATCAAGCAGAAAAGCTCTGCCCTGTGGGGCTGCCAAGCCCTTGCTCTCCTCTCCCCTCCTTGTGGGGACAGGGAGGGAAGAAGGAGAAACAATTGTAATGTTGTTTATAATTATTATTATTATTATTATAGAGAGTGCAGCTGTTAGAAAAATTGATGAAGCAGCTGCACCAAGCAGAGCCAACACACAGAGGAATTTCAGTGGCTGACTTACTGAGTGAAGTGGCCCTGACTGGATCTCCAACATCCTTCCCACTGGGAAGCTCTCACAGGAACACCTCTAGAGATGCTCCCCCAGCATCTCCACCCAGAGATCCTCCATGGAAAGAGGTAAGGTTGTGGCTTTGCTCAGCCCAGCCCAGCTGCACTCTGCTTTCCAGCCATGGCATTCCCAAAGTCCGATGGAGGAGGACAATCCTGCCTCCTCCAGCCAGCCAAAGGGGAGCTCTGGGGCACAGCAAAGAGGGGAGGCTGCTCTGCCTGCTGGTGTGGAGGTGGCAGCAATCCAGCAGCAGCAAAGTTGAGAGAAGCTGTCATGCTCATTTATATATGGAAGTGATCTAGAGAATGATCAGCTAAATTATTTAAATGTCCCATTACTATTAAATTACTGGGCATTCATTGTAAGAACAGTCATAATACAGTAACTAATTTGGTATTAATGTGAATGTCAGCATTTCATTGCAGTTATTTTGTACTTCATCATCAGATAATTTACCAATAAATTAATTGGCTTAATTGCTTCCTGCAAATCCAGGAGAACTACATATGACATGACTTTTCTAAAAGCCTTCATGCTCACTCCCCCACCCTCCAATTTTAACCACACCAAGCAGGAACCCCTCTTTGGAACACCTGGAAGGGGGAGCAGAAGAAATAAAGTCTTGGCATTTCCCTGCCCTGTGGATTTGAATGTGCTTTAAATTCAGACCCCAAGGCCACACTTGGAGTAGGACAGGACACAGGGAATGGCTTCCCACTGCCAGAAGGCAGGGATAGATGGGATATTGGGAAGGAATTGTTCACTGGGAGGGTGGGGAGGCCCTGGAATAGAATTCCCAGAGAAGCTGAGGCTGCCAGTCTTCTGGAAGTGTCCAAAGCCAGGCTGGGGCACCCTGGGACAGTGGAAGCTGTCCCTGCCCATGGAAAGGGCTGGAAATAGATGAGCAGGAGCTGCTCTGCCTCCTCACCTCACCTGTACCAGCCCAGAGATGGGATTATTGGGATTGCCCCTGCCTGCTGCCAGCTGCAGCCCTGGGGTTTCACCAGCAGCACTAAAACTCTGCTCTAACAGAGCTCCCACCCTCCTCTCCCCAAGAGCTCACAAGAAGTTTTCTTCTGTTTTCTTCTCCAGGAGATGAGGGGAAAAGACTCCACTGGAAGCACAGTGGGGAAGGACAGCTCCTTCCCCCTGTTTCTGGCTGGAAATATTTTAAATGAGCGCTCAGGGCTCTTCTGCAGAGTGCAGCAGGCTCAGAGCTCCTGCACCACCAGGGCTGGATCAAAGGGACTGCAAAACACTAAATCTTCATTGATGCTGACTCCCCTGCTCCTGTGCAGCCTGCAGCATGCCAGGCTGGCAGCTCCAGGTGGGAACAACCCCGGGAACACATCTCACCCTGCCCGAGAGCAGTGCCAGGCACGCAGCACCTGGGGCAGCCCGGGATTGAAGTTGCCATCAGAATTAAAAAACAAGCCGAGGTTTCTCAGCAAAACCCCCCAAATCCGGTAACACAAAGTGAAGCTGACTGTTCTATTAACTCCCATCCTGCATCAGCAATTTTCTAAAGTGTGGAAACATTATAATTGACTTTTCTGCTAGTAGCAAAATGTCATTTTTCCTTAATACTCCCCGAGTCAGTAACGCATTTCAAAAGCCTCCGATGCCACTACCACAACAGGACTTACAAATTAGCACATTTTTAGCTTTTCATTAAACACAATGCCAAAAAAAAAAAAAAAAAAAAAAAAAAAAAAAAAAAAAAAAAAAAAAAAGGAAAGAGAAAAGTCTTCTGGTATTAGGGTTTCTCTCCTCATTATTGAAAGTACTGCGACTTTGGAACTTCTAGCAGCAAATTATAATGCACTCAGCCTGGGGCCATTGTAAATCAGGGCTTCAAAAAAGGTGTCATGTAGTCGGGCCCTCTTCAAGCACTGAAAATATCGGAGTCTATTTGAAAACGCCTTCTGTAGTCTCTCACTAGCCTTGCAAATCAGCACAGCACTGGGTAGAGCTGCCTTTTATTTTTTTTTTTTAATTTTTTTTTTACCTCGTGGCATCAAGCCATTTCTATTCCGACCAGAAAAAGAGGATTATTTCGTGCTGGGATTTCAAATTAAAAAATAAAAAAAAAAAACCCTATACCTAAGATAACAAGCTGCATAAAACCCCCAAACCCTTTGGGGCTCTTGTTAGGGTCTGGGCAGTGCCTGTGGGGCTGTCACAGCCCTGGGATGAAATCCCTTTTCTTGGCACAGCAGGGAAAATCCCAGGGGATGTGCCAGCACAGAGAGAACCCCATCCCACCCCAAACCCCCCAAAGCAGGTGCCACCCTGGGGCAGGGCACTGCCAGGCTCTGCACCCTCCTGCCCAACAGCCCTAAAGCCAAAGGAGGGAAATGCCAACCCCAAATCCTCTCCCCGCTTTCCCCAGTCCTCTGGAAAACGACTTATCCCATCCCTAACCTCCTCTGAGCATCCCCAAACAAACCCACACAGCTTCCTAAAGGTTGGAGTCTCCTCTCCTGACAAGTTTGATGCCTCAAGTTGCTCCAATTAGCAAGAAAATCATCATTAATGACAACTAAAGCAAACGGGGAGAGAAGCCCAAAAGAAAGCTGTTCCCTTCCCAGGAAGGCAGCTCCAAACCAGCATTCCCTAACACTCTTTTCCAGCTTCCTTGCTTTAGGATCCACCCTAAATCAGTTTCCCCAACCAGGAAAAGGCAACCAGGATTGATGGAAACATGGGAAGGGGGGAAGGCACCCACAGGAGCACAAAACAAGGAACAGCAAACAAGGGATGGACCAAGGAGAGCCTGGAGAAGACAGGCAGGTCCCAGCAGCATGGAAAAACACACTCAAGGAACTCACCCCACCTTGTCCTGGATGGATAGAGCTGGGCTGTGGTTAGCAGGAAGGAAAAGGATTGCCAGTGCTGCTGTGGTCACCAGAAACCCACAAAAACCAGGAATTCTGGCTCCAAGGCTTTTATCCTCTCCCTCGGGGTGGTTGGAGGGTCACTGTTCCCAAAACCTACCCCATCCTCACAGGGTCATTTCTGACCCAGCCAGGAGCCTAGAGCAGGGTCCTATCCTTAGCCACCATTCCATTCTGTGGAATGGATCAGTGGATCACGAGCAAATAGGGAACCCAAATCACCTGCTGCCCTCTCAGGACAGACATTCCCACATTCTCACCCCAGGAACAGCATTGTTTGCAGGATTTTGTGGAGCAAGGAGAAGCCACCGTGCACAGAGGGGGATTTTGGCTTTCTGAGTAAAAATAACTCAAGAACCAGGAATAAAAAAAAAAAAAAAAACACAAAAAAAACAAAAAAATAAAAAAAAAAAAACAAAACACCAACCAAACAAAAAAAATCCCACCAACATAAACTACCAAAAACCCCACAAAAACAAAACCAAAAAAACCCCAAAACAAAAGAAGCAAACAAAAACGCAAAACAAACAAAACAGAGGGAAAAGAGAATGGGGTGAAATGAAGAAAAAAAGCCACCAAGAAATTCTATAATTATCAGGACTGGACTGGGCATGGTGGGCTCTAAGCCCCAGTGAAAGTTTGAGGAGAGGTCAAGGCCTGGGTGGGATCCTGTCCTCTCTTTAGGAATAACTGGAGCAGTGAAAGGGCTGGGGGATTAGCAGGAGGTGGGAACGGTGCAAACGAGCTGTTAGCACCTCTCAGGCCAAAGTTTGGGAAGCTACACCCATAATTACCCTAATTACTCACACACTCCATCCCAAAAAGCTTCTCAGGGAAGAAGGGGGTGCTGGGCAAGGAGAAAAGCTAACAGGCATCAGGCCTGCCTGGAATTTGGGGGTTTGGTGTCGTTTCCAAGGCCGATGGAAGCCCCATGTCCCCTCCCGTGGGCAGCAGCCCTCCTCTCCCCTGGGTTTGGACAGACGCGGCCCCAAAAGCTGCTCCATCCTCACGGGATCATTCCTGACCCTAAAGCAGGTCCTGCCCTGAGCCACCGTTCTGTTTCACGTTCACAGACCCATCCCTGCTCCCTCAAAGCTCCCAGCCCTGGCATGTCACTGCCCTGCTGGTGACTCCGCATCTCACCCGTCGGGGACACCCCGAAGTGCTGGCCCCCCGCTCCCCATGCCCAGAGCAGGTTCAGGGCAGGGGTGGCAGTGGGGACAATGTGCTCACAGCTCCCTGCCGTGACAGACCACCCCAGAACCAGCTGCTCTTCCCAGCACGGCACAGCACAACCTGTAATTTGCAGCCCTTGCCCCACAGGTGATGGGAAGAGGGGGCAGGAATGGGGACAGAGCCCAGGACGAACCAGGTGGTTCCCTCCTGGAGCTGCAGCTGCTCCAAGGAGAGGTGGGAGCCCTGATGAGCCAAGCCAAGGCCCCACTAATTAACAGTGACAGCTCTGGTGTGTCCAGTGGGAAGGGATAAATCAATCCCCCAGAAATGAGTGGGTGTGGGCAACAGGGGATGGCTGGGTTTGTTCTCCTGCACCCCAGAGGGCAAGCAATTATCTCAGGAACTTTCCACCTAGGGTGTGCTTGGGAAACACATCCTCCAGCCCATAAATAACTTCCAAAGCTACCTGGCACTTGCCGGTGTCAAACACTAATTGTACTCAGGGATGACATGAAACTGAGTCAAGGGCTTGTTGGAGCTCGTGGTGGCCATCCAGCTCCTCTGTTTGCACCTCCCACAGCGATGGCAGCGCTGGAATTCCGGCTAGGGAATGGGGCGAACCTGCTTCAGATTCCAAGAGTTGGGGAAAAGGGCTGGGATCTGAGCCCTGAAATGCCTAGCACTGAGTCCTCACTCTGTAATCCTTTATAAAACCCTTTTTGGGGGCAGTCTGTGAGGGGTGAGGCAAATCACAGATGGGTGTCTCCCATCCCAGAAGGAAATCCCACATTATGGACCCCACAAGGAGCCTCTGGTGCTGAGACTGGGTGGAAGACACGTGGTGAGGGTCAGCCCCAGCTGGTTTTCCAGCCTGGCACACAGGGTGACATTCCAAGAGCACATAACTCGGGGGGTAAATAACTGGGAGGGCTCCACCTTTCAAAGAGGATGTGCCCCAGGACTGAATTCCCAGGGGATAATTAACAGCTCTTCAGCAGGGAGGTGGGGAGAAGGGAGCCCTTGAATTTTTACTTGAGCTAAGAGCTATTTTTTATTATTATTCCTGTAATTGATGGGGGAAAGGGGGGAAAAAAAGGAAAATTGTGCAGTTATAATTGGAAAGAGTTTGGAGGGGGGTTTATTGAATTATTTACATCTGACAAAGATGAGCCACTATAAACTAACTGTAGCACAAGACCTTTCCATGTTATATAGAGCTGTTAAAGGAAAATGCTTAAATATCATCTAATTTCCAATAAAAACTGCACAAAATCAATGCAGCCTCGGGACAAGTTTATATTTCACCAGGCAGCAGCTTCTAAAGAAGAACTGAGCAGCAGCAGCAGCATCTGCAGAAGTATTTTTGGGGGGGTTAAAGGCATGGGCACAGGGACAGGGACTTGTGTGTTGGCAGGGTCAGCCCGACCACAGCCACATAGCTGGGCAATGCTGTCACCTGGAGAGCTGCAAATATAAACGTGGGGACGTGCTGGGGACAGGGTGGCTCTTTGCAAGGTGGCACCTGGATCCCAGAGAGGGCATTGAAGCTCACACCTCGCTCTGCCCGGGCAGGGATGGTGATCAGGGGGGATGAGGGACCATCAGCCAGGAGAGCCCCCCTCACATGGCTGCAAGGTAGGTTTGGGGCTGTGGTGGCATTGCAACCCCTCAGTCCCACAGCCACGGGGTGCTGGGGGGATGCTGCCATCACAGGGACCCCGTTTGAGCTATTTGGGGGGACTAGGAGGGGATGCAAGGTTGGAATCAGCCCCTCTGGAGGAGGCAGTGCTGTGGGCTCCTGCACCACACTGGAGATTTCCCCGCAATGATAATAATGACAGTGATAATAATGGCATCCAAACAGGGTGGTGGTGCCAGGAGCTCTGCACATCTGGATGTTCTTCCACAGCCTCGTGAGGCATTGGGACCAGGAGGGCTGAGGTGTCCCCAGAGTGAGGACTGAGTTATGTGGCAGCTGCACCTGGGGGACAAGCTCTCTGCAAACCCTCCTGCTGCTGTTGTGCCCTTCTTTTGCCAGGAATGAGTTTTCCTGGAGAGCTGGAGCAGGCTATGGAAGCTGTTATGAACAGACCCCCTTGATCTGGGGAAGGGAACTGCTGAATGTTTTGTTCAGTGGGATGTGCCCTGCAGGAGAATGTGCTGGGGATGGATGAGGGTGAGGCTACAGGTGCTCACTCTGAGCCTCTCTGGGGCTGTGCAGGGCCATCCCTGCCGAAGGAAGGACACGGCAGGATGATCCCAGGCTTGGTTTTGCCGGGCTCAGGCGCTCAGATCCTCAGGGATCACAAAGCTGTGCTGCCAGGGGATGTGCCCAGGGCCCTGCAGCACAGCACTGCTACAGGGGAGCCTTGTGGGGTGTCCTCCAGCGCCCAAACTCGCTGCCTGAAGGCAACAAGTGCGTTACAAGCTGTTGGAAAGGGAACATTTCTCTCCAGTCCTGCTGTCCCAGGCTGGTTTTAAGCCTGGCCCGGGACTCGAGTGTTTATATGCAAATAGATGCAGATTGAGAAGGGTCACGGGGTGTCTCTGCACACACATCCACACCCCCACCAAGGGAATTAGCCCGGGACTGGCCCACAAGGTCTGCCCTCCCTGCTAAATTTACCCAGGAAGGCAATCCCTGCCCGGGGAAAGTGATCCTTTGGCGTGAGGCAGGATTCCTCCATGTCACCATGAAAATATGACAGGGTCACCAGAGACACAGAGAGAAAGCAAGCCAGGGCTCTGGGAATGCCACCCCGAGGTGAATGATCCCTGTCTGTGGATCTCCAAAGCTCCTGCTGTGCTGGCTGAAGGAGCTCAGGGATGCCCAGGGGTGTTTGCATACCAGAGCAGTGCTTGGAGGAGGTGGATCAGGCCGTGCCAGAGGGGGAATGGGCACTGAAAGGCTGGGTGCAGCAAAACAGCAACAAAGTGGGGAAAGCAGAGGGAAAAATGAAGGGATTTGGAGGCTCCAAACCAACAGAGAGGCTGGGGATGGCCAGGTGGGAATGCTGGCCTTGAGTGCTAGGGGAAAAGAAGGAGAAAACAGGGAAGACCACCAAGGGTGGCCTCAAATTAGCTCCCAGTGCTGCTTCCCATGAGCAGGGGCCTTAGGGGGGTCCTTCACCAGGAACCCCTTAGCTCAGCAAGCCCCATCCCTCAAGGACACAGCAGGGAGTTTTGGGGCTCCAGAGATGGGTGCCACCACAGTCACGCTGGGGACACACAGGGGAACCTCAGGTGGCTCTGGCAGCACAGGGGTGCTGGCTCAGGAATGCTCAGGATCCCCAGGAAGGTCCCAAAAATTCCTCCCAGCCTCAGGCTGGCTCCACACGGAGGGAACCATGCAGCGTTCCAGCTCTGGTTTCACATCCCAAAATCTGCTTTGGCCGGGTTTGTTCCCCGCAGAGGTGGGTGGCGGGGCTGGGAAGGAGAAGCTTTGTCACCCAGGGCCTCCAAGTCACGAGGTGCCAGTCTCTATTCTCGTCCCCAGCACGGATCTCTCTGGTGACCTTGAGGAAAGCAGCCCGGGGGAAGTGGGAGCAGGGAATGCTCTGCTGGCATCCAGTGGAGCTTTCTCTCTCCTATACAAGGCACTGTCTGGGGGAGCAGCTTCCCCTGCCAAAGCCCCAGGAGCATTTGTACCACGCTGCAAGGATCATCCCAGCATTCCAGGCTGGGCCAGATTTTTCCACACTGCAACCACAGGACTGGAATCTCATATGAGCACCTTCATGAAAAAAAGAAATAGAGGCGGGGGGGGGGGGGGGGGGGGGCGGAAATCCTCCCAGAGCTCAGAGGACACAAATAAGGTTATTGGGGATTGACAGCAGTTGACTAAATTCCTTTTTTTGGTTTTTTTTAGTTTCCTAAACACTAGGCACCATTTTCCTCCCAGCCTAAACACCTCTGCCCCAAGTTGGAGCCTCCAAAAAATCCAGCAAGTTAATCCAAGAGGTGCTGGTGCAGCATGGCCCAGTGACCAGCTGACCCTCATTGTACCCTGTGTCCATCATGCTCCAAGCCCTCTGCAGTTATAAATACTCCACAACAGAGCCTGGACTGGATTATAATTAGGCAGTGAGCCAAGAGGATGGAACCAATGGGGTATAAAAGCCTGGCCATGCCCCCAGGCAGGACCTGCACACCAGGAAGCACTGGCATGAGCGAGGCACCAGGAGCTGGGACAGGCAAGGAGGATTTCCTCCAAGTTGGACTCGGAGCATCCCTTGGCACCTCGTGCTCCCATCGCCAGGTTCTACACAGCCCTGGTCACGGGAGACCTGAGGAGCCTGCAGCTCCTGTCTGACAGATACCACCAAGGTGTCAACCTGGTCTTTGAGATCAGTAAAAACCAGCTGGAGTGGCAGGTGAAAAGCCAAGCCTCTTATGGACTCTCAGGTACTTTTCCTTTGAAGGCCAGGCCAGGAAAATGAAATCAGTGTGTGTTTACTAACCCTAAACAGGAGAGGGGCAGTGCATCTCGGTGCCTTAAGTGTGCCCAAGGTTTCTGGTTAGCCCACAGTTCTGACCATTAATATTTATCACCTTTATATTTTCTTCTCTTCTGCACCTACTAACCCAGTGGAAGTGTCAGGTTTGTGCATCTCCATGATTTCCTCAGGCTGGGATTAGACACCCAGCCTGTATTTTGGGAATGCTTTCAGAGGGGGCTCACAGCCCACATTCCTCATGGTGCTATCGGGAGGGATCAGATGCCCCCAGGATGGTGGTGCCTCCTGAGGTGATGCTCCCCATGGCCCCAGGTGCTCGGGAGACGGTCCAGGAGCTGCTGAGAAACACAGTTCCTCTCTCTGGGTACTCCCAAACCCAGCACATCCCAAGCCCAGCCCTCCAACACGCTCCCACCTGGCTTGGGTACCTTCACTCCCAGCAAAGTCAGCTTTTCCTTTCCTGGGGAATTCCTGGGCTGCCTTTAGCTCCTGCCAGCCGCTGCACATGGGGCTGTGTGCCCTGGTGGCCAGCAGGGCGTTGGCTTGCCCACCTGGTTCCACCTGAAATCCCACTCCTGGAGGAGCACACAGCGAGGGGGCTTTGTTTCCCCTCCTTCCAACTGCAGTCAGAGCCACGGAGCACAACCAGCCCCTACAGCTGCCAGAGAAAAAGGGGAAAAGCCCTGTCAGGAGCTGCTCCAGCCCCCAGGCTGCTGGGCAGAGGATGGGAATGCAGGGGCAGGACTAAACCAGGTGAAATCAGAGCCCCATTTATTGTATTTGCTGGGAATGTCCCAATGAAGGCAGGAATGATGAGTCTGACTCCATGTTCTCAGAAGGCTAATTTATTGCTTTATGATACTATATTATATTAAAGAATACTAAAGAATACAGAGAGGATACTTACTGAATGCTGAAAGACAATAATGAAAACTTGTGACTCTCCAGAGTCCCGACACAGCCTGGCCCTGATTGGGCAATGAGTCAAAATAATTCAGACCAGAATCCAATGGAACAATCACCTGTGGGTAAACAATCTCCAACCACATTCCACATAAGCACAGCACAGAAGAAGCAAATGAGATAATTATTGTTTTCCTTTTTCTCTGAGGCTACTCAGCTTCCCAGGAGAAAAATCCTGGGCGAAGGGATTTTCCAGAGAATCTGCACAAGCACCTAACTCAACTCCAGTGCCCAGAATCTTGTGACTGCCAGCCGACAGTCCCGATACTCGCACACCTGGATTCAACTGGTCAGTGAATCAAAACACTCACACCAGAATCCAATTGCCAGCTCCCCTCAGGTAAACAATCTTCCACGATGCACTCCACTTGTGAGCAACGCAGGAGCAGTAAATGAGATATGAATTGTTTTTTCTTTCTCTGAGGTTCAGAGAACGTGAATCCCAGAAATATCCTTGGGAAATTGTGCCTTGCTTTTCTCCGTGAAGAGAAATGCGGCTACAACATTCCATTCCAAGAAGGCTTCAAACTGGTTTTATTCTAGCATGCATGCTTTTTATACAATCTTACAAAGCTCAGAAGTTTACACTTTACTCATTGGTTAGAAGAGACAAACAAAGTGATTATTGGAATGGGCAGTTGCAGGTTTCTCTTATTTATTCTCTTATTTATCCTTTTTTCTTTCTTGGTTTCTCTGTCAACAACCTTGGTAGGAAATTCTTTCAGGGGCAAATGTGGATCCTCTTATCAAACACAGATCCTCTTATCAAACATGAATCCTCTTCTCAAACTTCTCCCTGGCTCACAGAAGTTGCTGTAAAACCTCTTCCACCCAAACCTTCCAACCCAAACTCTTCTGGCATTCCATGATAACCTCGCTGTGCATCCCCTGTGCGCACAGCCCAGGAGTTTTGCCTGTGGAAGGCAAAAAAGATGCCATGAAGCAAAAAAAGATGCCATGATCCATGGCAAGGCTTCCCTCACGTTCCCATATCTCCCCACTGCCACAGCAGAGAAAAAAAGCGCATTTTGGTGCCAGGCACATTGCACAGCCAAAGTCTTCTCCCCATGGACAGGAGCAGCCCAGCCTCAGCCTTTCCTTGCTCCTCTTTCCTGACTATTTCCCCTAAAATCAGTAAGTCCTGCAGCCCAGATCCAGCACACTTCCCCAGGAGATGCTCAGGATGGGTTTATGGGATGTGGAGCAATGCTCCCA